AAAACCATAGCTTATACGCATATACGGATCTTTGTTGGCAATGAGATGTCTCAGCTTTTTAAGATGCTAAAATTAAAAAGTTCCTTCCAGTAGCACCTTAAAGACCAACTAAGTTAGTTTCATGTGCATGCACACTTCTTCAGATACACTGAAACAGAAGTTGCCAGATCCTTCTATATAGTGAGAAGGTGGGGAGGGGTATTACTCAGAAGGGTGGTGGGAATGGGTGATTGGCAGATAGCTGAGATGAGCCTGTTGACTCACTATATAGAAGGATCTGGCAACTTCTGTTTCAGTGTATCTGAAACTTAGTTGGTCTTTAAGGTGCTACTGGAAGGAACTTTTTAATTTTGACTATGGCAGACCAACACGGCTACCTATCTGTATCTGGTTTTAAGATGCTGTGTAGGTTTGTCACTGCTTTTCTCCCGAGAAGCAGGCGTCTTTTAATTTTGTGGCTGCTGTCACCATCTGCAGTGATCATGGAGCGCAAGAAAGTAAAATCTCTCACTGCCTCCATTTCTTCCCCTTCTATTTGCCAGGAGGTGATGGGACCAGTGGCCATGATCTTAGTTTTTTTGATGTTGAGCTTCAGACCATATTTTGCGCTCTCCTCTTTCACCCTCAATAAAAGGTTCTTTAATTCCTCCTCACTTTCTGCCATCATGTTTTGTCATCTGCATATCTGAGGTTGTTGATATTTCTACTGGCAATCTTAATTCCGGCTTGGGATTCATCCAGTCCAGCCTTTCTCATGATGAATTCTGCATATAAGTTAAATAAGCAAGGAGACAATATACAGCCTTGTCGTACTCCTTTCCCAATTTTGAACGAATCTGTGGTTCCATATCCCGTTCTAACTGTAGCTTCTTGTCCCACATAGAGATTTCTCAGGAGACCGATGAGGTGATCAGGCACTCCCATTTCTTTAAGAACTTGCCATAGTTTGCTGTGGTCGACACAGTCAAAGGTTTTTGCACACAGAAACTGCAGCTACTGAGGACTAATTTGGGAACCCACTAAGTAGAAGCAAGCAGGGAGGGGGGGAATCATGGCATTGTAGTTTATTTCCTTTACTGGTACCTTGAATATGCAAAAATATCTCTCCCCCCATCCTGTTAGATTTGCCTTCGCTCACTGCAAAGGATTTCCCGATATCCTTTTGGTGGCAAACTGTGGGGGAGAATGAAAGTTAATTTATCAACTGACCATCATATGCTGCGGCTTCCTGTTTCCCACATTAATCATACCACTTCTGGAGAAAAAGCTTTCTAAAAATGGCACTGAATCAGTGGTGTTTCTTCAGCTGGGTTTTTCAATGGGTTTTCCCAGTAGCACTCTCCCCTACAGATTTTGTCAAGCTATGACTGCCGTCAGCTGTCAGTAAGCACGGTCAAAGGGTCAACATTACCCAGAGGGCACCAAATTGGGAGAGCTAGGCTTATAACACTGAAATAGGAAAATATTCATTTCTGGGAAAGTGTTGCCAGTCCTTATTGTTGTTCTTTTTTAAAAAGGGGGATTAGGTTGGGCATTTGTCTGATAACACCAGGAACATTATTGATGTTTTGGAGTTACTGCAGACAAATTTGAACACGAAAGCAGTCTTGATTTTTATAGACGCCGAGAAGGCCTTCGACAATATATCTTGGAAATTCATGAAGAAAAATTTGGAAGGGATGGGAGTGGGAAGGGCGTTCCAAAATGGTATTGAAGCAATCTATTCAGAACAAAAGGCTAAATTGATAGTGAACAATGTGGTGACAGAGGAGTTCAAAATCGAAAAAGGGACACGACAGGGGTGCCCCTTATCACCCTTGTTATTTATCTCTGTCCTGGAGGTGCTGCTGAATTTGATTAGGAAGGATCAGCTGGTGGAAGGAATACAGGTCGGAGGAAAACAATATAAACTGAAAGCTTTTGCAGATGATTTGGTTTTAACATTACAGGAGCCAGAACCTAGTACAAAAAGAGCTTTAGAATTAATCTATGAGTTTGGTCGGGTGGCGGGATTCAAGTTGAACAAACAAAAAACTAAGGTTTTGGCAAAAAACTTGACATCTCCAGAAATAGATGGGTTCCAGAAGGAAACGGAATTAAATGTGGTTAAAAAAGTGAAGTACCTGGGGGTCAACCTGACTGGGAAAAATTTGAATTTGTTTAAAGATAACTATGAAAAATGTTGGTCAGAAATTAAAAGGACTTAGAAACTTGGTCAAGATTGAAACTTTCCTTGTTGGGAAGAATTGCAGCTGTAAAGATGAATGTATTGCCAAAGATGTTGTTTTTGTTCCAAACCCTGCAGATCGTGGACAGAGTGGAATGTTTTGGAAAGTGGCAGAAGGACATCATGAAGTTTGTCTGGCAGGGCAAAAAGCCCCGGATAAAATTTAAAATACTAACAGATGCAAAAGAAAGAGGGGGATTTGCCCTGCCGGACTTAAGGTTATACTATGAAGCTGCGTCCTTCTGCTGGATGAGGGATTGGTTCTTATTAGAAAACACTGATGTCCTAGATCTGGAAGGGTTTAACAATGTGTTTGGGTGGCATGCATATCTGTGGTACGACAAGGTAAAGGTTCATAAACTGTTTAAAAACCATATTGTCAGGAAAGCTTTATTCAATGTCTGGATTAAATATAAAGACTTACTTGAAAATAAGACTCCGAGGTGGCTATCACCAATGGAGGCTAAGGCCTCAAAAATACTTAACATGGAGGGTGGCTGGGCAAAATATTGTGAGATAATAGAAAGAGTTGGAGACAACTGGAAGTTGAAGAATTTAGAAAAATTAAAAGACAAGGTGCGAGACTGGCTACACTATGCCCAAATACAAGAGATTTTTAAAAAGGACAAAAAAATTGGCTTCCAGGTGGAAAAATCGAAATTAGAGACAGAACTACTTGAACCCAAGACGAAAGTGCTTTCAAGAATGTATAACTTGTTGCTTAAATGGAACACACAGGATGAGATAGTTAAATCAGCCATGATAAAATGGGCACAAGACATTGGGTACAACATTATGTTTGAAGACTGGGAAAGGTTATGGACCACTGGTATGAAATTCACGGCATGTACTGCCCTGAAAGAAAATATTATGAAAATGATATACAGGTGGTACATGACCCCAGTCAAACTTGCAAAGATATATCATCTGTCTGACAATAAATGTTGGAAATGTAAGGAGGCTGAAGGAACATTCTTTCACCTCTGGTGGACATGCCCGAAGGTGAAGGCTTTTTGGGAAATGATTTATAATGAGTTGAAAAAGGTATTTAAGTATACCTTTCATAAGAAACCAGAGGCCTTCCTCCTGGGCATTGTGGGCCAGAGAGTGTCAAAGAAGGATAGAACTTTCTTTTTATATGCAACTACTGCAGCAAGAATCCTTATAGCAAAACATTGGAAGGCACAGGAGTTACCCACGCTGGAAGAGTGGCATACGCAACTGATGGACTACATGGAATTGGCCGAAATGACTGGCAGAATCCGAGACCTGGGAGAAGAGGCAGTGGAAGAGGACTGGAAAAAATTTAAGGATTATCTACAAAAACATTATAAGTTATATGAATGTTGAGAATTTGCTAAGTTTTGGGAAAAACATGCTTCAGTATTGAGATTTGAAAATGGTGTAAATTAAGTTTAAATTTTAGAGCATATAATTAGATGAAAGTACAAAAACGCATGAAACAAGGTATCAATTTGCTGTTATCTTTTTTTTTTTATTGTGAAGAATGCAGGGGGTGGAAGATGTGGGGAAGTCCAGTAGATTATGAAAAATGGTTTGGAAATGTGAATCTTCTTTTTTCTAATTTCTTTTTTCTTTTTGTAAAATCGCTTTTGTTGTGTTATTGATGATGTATCTGACCTGGGGGGAAAAAAGCAATAAAAATATTATTAAAAAAATAAATAAATAAAAAGGGGGATTAGGTTGTATGCTTGGGCTCCCTTCTAATCCCTGTATCCAGCGAGTGTTAAAATCTAAGCAGGTATTGAAATCCCTGAAATTGCCAGGCTGAGGCGATGGGCTATTAAGGTAACAAAGGAAGTGGCTCTGCGCCAGATGGAAAATGTGAAGGTCCCCCTTCCTCAACTCCTTGGGCAGTTATCTTTCCACAAGGGCCGACATTGATGCCGAAATCCATCATCACCTGAGCCAGGCATAGGCAAACTTGACCTGCCAGATGTTTTGGGACTACAATTCCCACCATCCCTGACCACTGGTCCTGTTAGCTAGGGATCATGGGAGTTGTAGTCCCAAAACATCTGGAGGGCCAAATTTGCCTATGCCTGGCCTGAGCTCTGCGAGTGCAGCTTTCTCCTGATTGAAGTGCAGAGTGTTTGAGGACTGGGATATTCGCAGGGAAACCAAAAGGCTTGTTTACATAGCTATTGTACTACCAACCTTACTGTGTGCTTGTGAAATGTGGACCACTTATAAATGCCACCTCCAACTCCTTGAAAGATTCCATCAACCGTGTCTCTGAAAAATGGAGGTTTCTGCAATGCGCAATGAGGATTTGTGAATGTGACACAATGTTAACTTAGGTGTCCGATGCAGATTATGCTGAGTTCTTTTATTGCTCCGAACCCTGCTGGAATCTGGTATACAGTGGTACCTCGGGTTACAGACGCTTCAGGATACCGACTCCGCTAACCCAGAAATAGTACCTCGGGTTAAGAACTTTGCTTCAGGATGAGAACAGAAATTGTTCTCCGGCAGCAGCTGGAGACCCCATTAGCTAAAGTGGTGCTTCAGGTTAAGAACAGTTTCAGGTTAAGAACGGACCTCCGGAACGAATTAAGTACTTAACCTGAGGTACCACTGTATATGCCAATAAAGATTTGCAAATTTGATTTGTTCAACGTGGTTCAGGCTACTTGGGTTGGGATGGGGCTTCATAAACAGCAAGCTGGGTAGCTGGTTCTTATTCTCATTTTGCAGCTCCGGTCTAATTTGGAGTCTTTTGTGTTCTCCCCTATTTCCTGATCCCTGGCAGGACATGAGCATCACAGACGTCGCTGCCTCACTGCTTAGGACGGAGGATTCCTTCTCTGCCTGCCTTGCTCGGATCAACAGCGTCGTCCTCCAGCCCCTCCTACAGTCAGGTGAGCACAGAGGGCGAACGTGGCGTGCAGTGGCGTAGCGTGGGTTGTCAGCACCCGGGGCAAGGCAAGTAATTTGCGTCCCCTAACCCTGAGTGAGCCAGGTAGGGGCAGAGAGCTGTGAGTGCGAGCGTGCCCCCCCAGATGTTGCGCCCGGTGCGGCCGGCCCCCCTGCACCCCCACGCTACGCCACTGGTGGCATGGGCATCCTGGCCTTGAAATTTCACACTTTGTGCCAGGGGCGAAGGAAGGCTCTCCGGCACCCGGTGTGGTGTGTCGAGGGGCGGGGCAAACCGCCCAGCAGCGCATGCACAGCGCCACTATGTACAGCGCATGTGTGCGCGCTGCTATGTATGCCGTATGGATGGACAGCAGCGCGGTCCTCCGCTTGTGGCTGCAGCAGGGAGCAAACTGCCCAGGCAGCGCAGGTGCAGCACTGCTAATAATAATAATAATAATAATAATAATAATAATAATAATGAATAATTATAATTTATACCCCGCCCATCTGGCTGGGTTTCCCCTGGGTTATTTGTGGGCCCTGCCTGGTGTTTTTACATGAGTAGAATGTGTGCTTTCATTTAAAATGCAGCTCTGGGTTATTTGTGGGGCATAGGAATTCGTTCATTCCCCCCCCAAAAAAAATATAGTCCCGGCCCCCCACAAGGTCTGAGGGACAGTGGACCAGCCCCCTGCTGGAAAAGTTTGCTGACCCCTGATTTAACATTTGCTCCTTGCCCTACCTTCCCCGCTTGCGCCGAAGGGTGTTTTGAGAACGCGAAGATCTTTGGACGAGCTGAACGACCGCTTCCAAGTCATCTGGGACCTGACGGAGGAGAGCTACAGAACTCTGAAGCAAACCTTCGGCGTGTCAGAATCCGTCCGCATCCAAGACCTGTACCTGGCCCAGAAAGCCGACTTGTTCCTTGACGCTTACGTCCAGTGAGTACAACCGCAAACCTGTGGAGGCAGCGTGGCGTAGTGGTTAGAGCACAGCTTTTCAAACTTTTCCTGTTGGCGACGCACTTTTTAGACGTGCGTCAATTTGTGACGCAGTAATTCAGTTTGGCTAGCAAACCGGCTGCCTGCCCGGCTCTCTTTCCAGTCCCGGGAGGAGCACAAGGAGCGTTTGTGCGTCTACACACTGCAGCCGACACACTAATGTGTCGTGACACAGAGTTTGGGAAAGCTTTGGGTTAAGAGTGATGGACTAGGACCTGTGAGACCAGGGCGGATTTAGTTTTGATGAGGCCCTTAGCTACTGAAGGTAATAGGGCCCTTTATAAGTCCAGCTGTCCTTTGTCAACAACAAACTGTCGTTTTTTTGTGTTGAATATATGCTATATGGTAATTTATAGACCTAATAGGTATCTAAAGCCATTTGCACATAACAAAATACATATTTTATCAAAATAACTTTTGTTATTGCCAAATGCCCATGTGTTTGCATTATTAAGTTTGCTATGAATAAAAATCATTTTCAGTAAGAGCTTAATAATTATTTCACTAAAGTGGTACCTCGGGTTAAGAACTTAATTCATTCTGGAGGTCCGTTCTTAACCTGAAATAGTTCTTAACTTGAAGCACCACTTTACCTAATGGAGCCTCTCACTGCTGCCACCGCACGATTTCTGTTCTCATCCTGAAGCAAAGTTCTTAACCCGAGGTACTATTTCTGGGTTAGCGGAGTCTGTAACCTGAAGCGTCTGTAACCTGAAGCGTATGTAACCCGAGGTACCACTGTATTAATATACTTCTTCTTCATTGTATTTCACTATTAATATACTTCTTCATTGCATTTCAGTTTGACAATTACTTTGATAAAATACATGTTTTGTTATGTGCAAATGGGTTTAGATACCTGTTAGCTTGCCCTGACCTTCCCATCAAACGTTCGTAAAAGAGCATTGCAAAACATCTGCAACGTTGCTTCAGTCCCGGGGAGCTCAGACACGCAGCCTAATGCTTGTCCGGAATTATTTTAAACAGGTACTTCTCCACTTTTGCCAGTTGTGTCGTGACCCAAGTCTTTGACCATGCTGCCAGGAATAAAAGGTGGGTGTGGCTTGTAGCATGCTTGAAGACCCTGCAGGATCAGGCCAGTGGCCTATCTGGTCCAGCATCCAGTATTGGAGCCTCAACTTCAGGATCTGTCCTTCCAGTGAGCACTCAGGGCTGATTTCCTTCAGAATGGAGAGGTTTGATCTTCTTGCAGTCCATGGGACTCTCAAGAGTCTCCTCCCGCACCATAATTCAAAAGCATCCGTTCTTTGGCGATCAGCCTTCTTTATGGTCCAGCTCTCACTTCCATACATCACTACTGGGAAAACCATAGCTTTAACTATACGGGCCTTTGTTGGCAAGGTGATGTCTCTGCTTTTTAAGATGCTGTCTAGGTTTGTCATTGCTTTTCTCCCAAGAAGCAGGCGTCTTATTCCCTCATAAAAGATAAGACACGACACAGTCTTCTATAAAAGTATAAAAAGGTTTACTCACACATCATTCTGTTCACAGTTGGATCCCAGAAGGCAGACTTAGCTTAGAAAAGTAACATACACCTGGAAACTATCTCATAAGGAGACAGTCCCTTTGTCCTCTCTTGGCTGGAGGCCAAGAGAGCATCTTTGGCTAAGTAGATGTTGCTTCTTCAATGCATGTAGTCAAAGAGAGAGAGATGGCTGCCCTGCCCTTTGCTTTTCTCATTACCTGCACAGGTGAGGCCACGCCCACCTCTAGTCACATGCAGAGGAAGTCTGTCCCAGCCCAGAAGGACACAGGAAGTTTACCTGCTGGCTGGACAAACCTTCCTCCCCATGCGTAAACATGTACACTCTAGGAATGTTGTACTTGACTGCTCTTGTGTTTCACATCCTACACCGCTCACAGCTTGTTTCTGTCTTGCCAACTCTGAATCGTTGCAGTGATTTCTGGAAGAGCCACAAGCTGTCGCTGCAGCCGTTCCTCGCCGACTTCTCCCCGGGGACGTCCAATCGCTGTCGCTCTCCACACTGTGCTTCACAAGCCCTTCTGGGAGCACCTCCAGAAGTACAGCCTGGTTTTCTCCCAACTCAAGGAAGCTCCTGGCCAGGTAGAGGATTCCTGTACGCCTTCCGCTAGGCAGCGTGGCATAGTGGTTAGAGCGCTGGGACCTAGGATTCAGGGGACCTGGGTTAGCATGCCCAACTTGGCCCAAAGCTTACTGGGTGAGCTTGGCTCGGTCGCTACCTCTCAGCCTTACCTACCTCGCAGGATCGGCATTGTGGTTTGGGGGATTAATTTAGGAGGAGGAGAGCCGCGTCGCATCACCTTGAGCTCCTTGGAGGAAATGCAAGAATAAATAAAGGATATATAAAAATAATTAAAAATAAGCTGTTAGACTTGTCTGTGCAGATTATTTATTTTATTTTGGTAACGTAACCCGAGGTACCACTGTATTTGTAAAGAAACTGCCAAGTGGTTTACATAACGTACATTTTTTGGACAGAAACCAGAAGTTAAAAATGATGTGGCCTAAGAGAAATCATAATATGAATAATACAAGAAGTTAGAAATAGCAGTAAAAAACTAAATTGTATTTAGCTTATGCATCCGGGGTAAGCTTGCCAAAACAGAAAAGGTTTCAGCATGTGCTGGGAAATAGTATAGCGAAGGTGCCTAATGTCAATGGGCAGGGAGTTCCACAGGCTAAAAGATTGATTCCTTGTAAGTGTGGAATGGACATTATGTGCTCAGATAGGTTGCAATTTTATGCATGGTGCCAAAAGTGGAGGACTGGTGGCAGGATGTCTCCTAACAATTCTCAACGTCCTTCCTGAGCTAGATTCCCAAGGATTTTTGTGCGGTAGGAGTTATATGCTACTTTGCAAACAAAACGACAATAATATAATACAATATAATAAAGAAATAACATCCACTTTTCCAGTGGTGTAGAGCTGCCTTTTGGTGATTTTTTTTTTAAAAAAAGGAAAGATTTCTGAAGAGCTATGTTGTTGTTGTTTTATCCCCACCTAACAGAACCTGGTTAAAGAAGTGAGCGAAGCTGCCGAAGGGTTTGCAAAGCTTCACTTGTTCATTTGTCAAGCTTTGGATGAAGCCAACCTCACCCGGAACCTCTGGAAGTCCCTGGGCCACAAGTTCACGGTGCGTCACAGAGGGGAAAACGGTTGGGAAAGGTCTAAGGGCTCCCCTGGAGGGACGTGGGTGGCGCTGTGGGTTAAACCACAGAGCCTAGGACTTGCCGATCAGAAGGTCGGCGGTTCGAATCCCCGCGACGGGGTTAGCTCCCGTTGCTCGGTCCCTGCTCCTGCCAACCTAGCAGTCCAAAAGCACGTCAAAGTGCAAGTAGATAATTAGGTACCACTCCAGCGGGAAGGTAAACGGTCCCCCTTCACAGAACACAGTAACACAAACATCCTGTCTCCGTCACTTCCCACTTTGTGGAGTCAAAACATACACCGTTATGTGATACACAACAATCCCATGACTGCAATCATGGAACAGGAATTCTAACAGGGAGGGCATTCCACAGGGCGGGTTCCACTACCGAGAAGGCCCTCTGCCTGGTTCCCTGAAACTTCTCACAATGAGAGGACCGCCAAAAGGCCCTCAGAGCTGGACCTCCGTGTCCGGGCTAGACGATGGGGGTGGAGACGCTCCTTCAGGTATACTGTGTGCAATGATGAAATAACTCTGTTCTTCCAGGATGTTCTTTGCGTTCCTGAGAGGAGGCTGCTGGAAGACAGCCGGAATCTTGCCCTCTATCCCAGCACAGGAAGATCTGACCGGGTTCTTCTCTTCAACGACATCCTTGTGCTGATTCAAGTAAGGAGTCCAGATGCACTTTGACCTGTGCTAAAAATTGCTGCCCTGTGGAGCGTTCCCCATTCAGGATTCAAGCCGTTCCATCCCCTTACCTTCTCCTCCCTCTGTTTTCCCATTGCCTCCCAGTCAGAATTCTGAAGCCACTGGTCATCGCCAGTGTTTTGGTGCCCTCCTTCTCCTTAATGTTGCTTTTCCTAAAGCTTTTTTGCCCTCCTACAAACCTGAGCGAGATTCTTCCTGCGCTTATGTGGCGCTGTTTCCTCTCTGTAAGGATTCACACCCACAACTTGAACGTTGGAAATGGTGGGCACGATGGCCCTAACCCAGGCATGGGGAATCTTTGGGCCTCCAGATGTTCATGAACTACAGCTCCCATCATCCCTGGCCATTGACCATGTTTGTTGGTGCTGATGGGAGTTATAGTTCAGCAACTACTACTCCTTTTTTATGAATTTTTTTATTGTTTTTTTCACAAATATTTAAGCACACAAACAGATAAACAAACACATAAACAAACATAAATCATAGCCTTTTTGAGCCTTAATCTAATGAACATTGTTAAGTGACTTCCTCGTATCCCCATGGTTGGGTTTCAATGGATATCATTTTAACGGTTTTCCAATTCAGTATTCTGATAAAATTTACTTAATCGCTTAACATCTTTCTTTCTAACCAATTCAGTATTCAACATATTGAATCATCACGTATTGCATATTTAAATCCTAAGCCAATCCGGTATTTGCAAGTCCCCTCCCCCCAATTAATTTAACTTAACATATTTAACTAAATAGTCGTTGAATTTCGTCCATTCTTCCTGATACTCCTCCTCCTTCTGGTCACGGACTCTTCCAGTCAGGTCGGCTAGCTCTGAGAATTCCATCATTCTTCCACTGTTGGTACTTCCTGCGATTTATAGTTCAGCAACTTCTAGAGGGCCAAAGATTCTTCGCCTGGTCAATGGGATTCTTCTTTTGCATTCAGTGCGTTCTGGTGTACTGTTTTCAAGGCATCTAGGTGGAATTCCAATTTCTCATTGAATTGGAAGATCATCTGCTCCAACTCCCTGCAATGCAGGAATCTCAGCTTAAAAGCATCCCTGATAGACAGTCATCCATCTTCTGGTTAAAAACCTCCAAGGAACCTCTCGAGGGAGACCGTTCCACCAATTGTGAGGTTATCTTGAGTATCCAGATGAGCTCCTGGAACAAATCGCCCGTGGTTCAACACACAGCAGCTTTTCCTCACATTATTATTATTTATTAAATTTATAAAGCGCCCTTGACGTTGCTGAGGGCGTGTTGAAGAACTGATGCTTTAAATCTCTTTGGCCTTCTGCCTCGTCGAGACCAACGCTGTGCAACATTTTGCTCTAGCGGTTTCCCCCCCTTATTATTTATTTCTTTATTTATATTTTTGTCAAAGGAATAATCATACATAAATAAGAATAAAAATGTGCACCCCGCCACAGAGACCATTCCATTGTAACTATCCAACCTCCCAAAATTTCAACACCTATTGCGATGGTTTGACCGCTTTCCGTTTTAACAGTACAAATTCCACATCTCCTCAAAATCATTTCTTAATGGCACATGTTGATTTATCATTAGTAGCTATATCCCACACCTCTTTATGCCATTCTTCCATTTTCTATACTGCTTGCCCCTTCTGCTTCCTAGCTATCATAATTTGTGCAGCTGTCAATAAATTCGTGGGGGACACGGGTGGCACTGTGGGTTAAACCACAGAGCCTAGGACTTGCCAATCAGAAGGTCAGCGGTTCGAAATCCCCGCAACGGGGTGAGCTCCCGTTGCTCGGTCTCTGCTCTTGCCAACCTAGCAGTTCAAAAGTAGATAAATAGGTACCGCTCTGGTGGGAAGGTAAATGGCGTTTCCGTGTGCTGCTCTGGTTCGCCAGAAGCGACTTAGTCATGCTGGCCACATGACCCGGAAGCTGTACGCCGGCTCCCTCGGCCAATAAAGCGAGATGAGCGCTGCAACCCCAGAATCGGTCACGACTGGACCTAATGGTCAGGGGTCCCTTTACCCCCCCCCAATAAATTTGTGAGGAAGTCGTCAATTTCCCCCCACCTCTGCAATGAAAAATATTTCAACATTTTCTTTCTTTTTTATATACATTTTTATTGATTTTTAACATGTCTTTTCCAACAGTCATTTAACATACTTTATTATCTTATACAGTATTTTGGACTTCCATCAACAACCTCTGGAGATTTTCCATTCTTAATCACTTATTCTGCCTTTCTTAATTTCTCTATTACTTTTAATTATCATTAACTAATAATTCTCTTCATAATCTTCCTTGCAATATTTTGCATAGTCCTCCTTAAAGAACTTCTTGCAGTCCTACTAGCGTGATCTGCTTTTTACAATTACTTTTCAAATAGTTCAGATATTTACTCCAGTCCTCTAAAAATCTCTGGTACCTTCCTGCTAATTTATCTAATTATCTAAATCTCGAATCCTTCCTGCTACTTTATCTAATTCTGCATTTGAACGTTTTCTAGGGGAACACCTTCCAGAGTTTTGACCTGAAGCTTACCTGGGTGGACGCGACTTTCAAGGAAACAGGAAAGTAAGTGGACTTCCTCCGTGTTAAGTTGTGGGTGAACATATCAGATGACACAGCGATTCTTGAAACAGCTCTTGTTTATTCACAGGCCAGGACAGAACTGAACTGAAGGGTTCAGTCAGCCTGCTTATATAGAGTTCCAGTACAACGTAACTGTAACAATTTTCTAAAACTATCCAATCACTGAACGGCACTTTCAATCCCTTATTTGCATAACTATCTACAGTATCCCCCTGCTGGCCCAGGGTGAGAACTTCAGTACATAACACCCCGAGCCACAATGGCTCTGCCTTCGTTCTCAGAGACAGAAATGCTTCCGAATTCCTGTTGCCGGAAATCGCAGGTGAACAGAGTGCTCTCGCACTCGTGTCCAGCTTGCAGGCTTCCCAAAAGCATCTGATTGGCCACTGTAAGATCAGGATTCTGTACTAGGTGGGCCACTGGCCTGATCCAGAAGACTCTCCTTGTGTTCTGCTGGTGGCAGATGTTTACAGTGAACGTGATCCGTGCGGGAGGCACGTCCGCAACCCTCAGCGCCGCCTCCGTGCATGCGCAAGTCACAATTCGGCACTTCTACGCATGTGCAAAGCACGATTTAGTTCTTCGCATGCGCGAGTGCCGAAACCCGAAAGCAACACGTTCCAGTACTTCTGGGTTCAGCGTTGTGCGCAACCTGAAGCGTCTGTAACCCGAGGTATGACTGTATTTCCAAACAGGGTAGATTTGATTTAATTCCAATCGATTTAAATCACGACTTAAATCACGATTTCAATCACTAGTCAGTAAGACTTGATTTAAATCATTTTTTCACAGAAAGACTCATTTTTGCTGGTATGATCTTAATATTTGCAATCAGGTGATGGTTTCAATTTTTAGAATAATAGATTTTCAGAGTAGTTTTTACAGTTGTATCAAAAATTACTGTTTTGATTATACTACTAGAAATACAAGACAGGTAATTGTGAAATTATTGTTTATATTTGGACAACTTTTCTGCTGTACTTTATTGGAAGGAGAAAAAGAATCATTTTCTTAATAACAATTTAAACAATTTATTTAACTAAAACAATAACATTATAGCATATGCATCCATATTTTTAACTGATGTGGTTAAACGATTAAAAAACAACCTTAGACTGAGTTTTAGCACACATGAAAAACTTTAAACAAATCCTTATTTCCTGATGAAAAGCCTTTGCACTATAATGTAACTTAAATACAAATCTTTAGAAAGATTTTTCCTTCCACTCTCTGTTTTGCTTGCTGTTTCTCAAGGCACACTCTCCGCATCAACACCCCAGAAGGCATGTTCTTCCTCTTGGCCAAAGAACCAGAGTCACGGGTATGTAGCTGTGTGGGACTCACTGCCCAGGGGTAGATGCTGGCGGTTAACAGGTGGATCTGTCTGGGATGCGAGGGAGAAATTTAGCTCTAAAGGACAGCGATCTAATTTGCACCTAATTACATGAACTGAAGGGATGCAGGTGGCGCTGTGGGTTAAACCACAGAGCCTAGGACTTGCCGATCAGAAGGTCGGGGGTTCGAATCCCCGCGACGGGGTGAGCTGCCGTTGCTTGGTCCCAGCTCCTGCCACCTAGCAGTTCAAAAGCACACGTCAAAGTCAAGTAGATAAATAGGTGCCGCTCCAGCGGGAAGGTAAATGGCGTTTCCGTGTGCTGCTCTGGTTCGCCAGAAGCGGCTTAGTCATGCTGTCCACATGACCCAGAAGCTGTACACCGGCTCCCTCGGCCAATAAAGCGAGATGAGCACCTCAACCCCAGAGTCAGTCATGACTGGACCAAATGGTCAGGGGTCCCTTTACCTTTTTACATGAACTGAAGCACAGTTGTCCTTTGAGATTCACACTTCTCCAAATTTGGCAGTGCAGTTCTCCTGCCAAGGAATGTGTACACAAATGCATGGGATGCGGGTGGCGCTGTGGTCTAAACCATTGAACATCTTGGGCTTGCCGATCAGAAGGTTGGTGGTTTGAATCCCCACGACAGGGTGAGCTCCCGTTGCTCGGTCCCTGCTCCTGCCAACCTAGCAGTTCCGAAAGCACACCAGCACAAGCAGATAAATAGGTACCGCTGCGGCAGAAAGGTAAACAGCATTTCCATACGCTCTGGTTTCCATCACGGTGTCCCGTTGCGCCAGAAGCGGTTTAGTCCTGCTGGCCACATGACCCGGAAAGCTGTCTGCGGACAAACACTGGCTCCCTGGGCCTGAAAGCGAGATGAGGGCCGCAGCCCATAGTTGCCTTTGACTGGACTTTCACCGCCCAGGGGTCCTTTACCTTTACAGTGGTACCTCTGGATGCGAACGGGATCCGTTCCGGAGCCCCGTTCACATCCTGAGCAGAACGCAACCGTGAAGCGGGTCGCGATTCGCCGCTTCTGCGCGTGACGCCATTTTGAGCATCTGCGCATGCGCGAGCGGCGGAACCAGGAAGTAACCCGTTCTGTTACTTCCGGGTCGCCGCGGGATGCAACCTGAAAAGATTTAACCCGAAGCTACTTTAACCCGAGGTATGACTGTATATGAGGGGAGACAGGTGGCGCTGTGGGTTAAACCACAGAGCCTAGGACTTGCTGATCAGAAGGTCTGCAGTTCGAATCCCCGCGATGGGGTGAGCTCCCATTGCTCGGCCCCTGCTCCTGCCCACCTAGCAGTTTCGAAAGCACGTCAAAGTGCAAGTAGATAAATAGGTACCGCTCTGGCAGGAAGGTAAACGGTGTTTCCGTGCACTGCTCTGGTTCGCCAGAAGCGGCTTAGTCATGCTGGCCACATGACCCGGAAGCTGTACGCCGGCTCCCTCGGCCAATAAAGCGAGATGAGCGCCGCAACCCCAGAGTCGGCCACGACTGGACCTAATGGTCAGAGGTCCCTTTACCTTTTACTTTAACACAAGGTATGACTGTATATAATGAGAACGAGGGGTTTGCATTGGCAATTGGGCAAACTGGGGGGTGCGTTTTGACAGGCAAACAGGTATGGATCTGCGAAGAGCTGAACGGGCACTTTTGTGCACCTCCCAGCGATGAGTTGATGCAGACTTTGCAGCTGAAGCCCCCTCCTCTATCTCTGCTTCCTTGCTTAATCCCCTCATCCTCCCTGCTCTCCTCCTCTTTCCATCCCGCAGGCCGTGTGGCAGTGGAAGCTGAACCAGGCCGTGCGCCAGGCGCTGAGCGGGAAGCGAGACTTCCCTCTGTGGGGCGAAGCCGGCCGAGGGAGAGACCCGCCGGTCTGCCGCTTCTCCAGCTTCACTTTCCAGGAGGAAGGAAGGTTCAAGGGCGCGACCTACGAGGGAGAGTGGCGGCTGAGTAAGCCCCACGGCAAGTAAGTACATAGCCCCCGTTTGTGTTCTCTCTCTCTCCCTCCGATCCCCACTTCCACTTTTAACTTGTAAAAAAGGGAGGAGAGAGACAAGCCAGCTAAATGGGCGGAATTGGACCTGCAGGCCGATAGTTGCTGACCCTGCTCCAATACACAGAGATTGCTTCCCTGGACTGAGTCAAACCTTGGCTTTCCTCTGGCCATAATGGGTTTATCTTCTTTACAGGGGGACGCTGACATGGCCAGATGGTCGGAATTATGTCGGGGACTTCCAGGAAGGCATGGAACATGGGTAAGGATGCTCCTGGGCTCACCTGTCAGGTGTGCAAGGGGAAGAGCTTTGGTCCACCCTGAATTGCACATCTCGATGGTGTGTAAATGGTACTGCTCTATTCTGCCTTGGTCGGATCCCACCTGGAGCCCTGTGTCCAGTTCTGGGTGCCACAATTTAAGAAGGAGGTTGGAAGGTTTGCAGAGGAGGGAGATGAAGATTATTGAGGGTCTGGAAACTAAGCAGAACAGTTGAGGGCCATCTGATTTGCTTGCCCTGGAAAGGAGAGACTGCGAGGAGATAGGATTGACATCTTCAAATATCGAAAGGGCTGTCACATAGAGGATGGAGCGAGCTTGTTTTCTCTGGAGGGTAGGACTCGAAAAAATGGCCTCAAGTTACATGAAAGGAGATTCCAACCAGGGTGGATTTGATTTAAATCAAATTGATTTAAAACACTAGTCAGTAAGACTAAGGATTTCAATCATTATTTTTTACATAAAGGTTGAACCTTGCTGGCATCTTCTTAATATTTACAACCAGGTGAAGGTTTCGTTTTTGGAATAATTTTCAGAGTATTTTTTACAGTTTTATCAAACATTACTGATTTGGTTATACTATCAGAAATACATAGACAGATAATTGTGAAATTGGTGTTTATATTTGGACCACTTTTTTGCTGCACTTTATTGGAAGGGGGAAAACAATCACTTCCTTAATAGCAATTTAAACAATTTATTTAACTAAAACAATAACGTTATAGCATATGTATATGTTTGTTAACCAATGTGGTTAAACAATTTAAAAACAAAACTTAAGAGTGAGTTGTAGCACACATGAAAAACTTAAAAGAAATCCTTATTTCTTGATGAATAGCCTTTGGACTATAATGTAACATAAATAGAAAACTATCTTTAGAAAGATTTTTCCTCCAAAAGCATTTTGTTTTAAAAATCCGATTTAAATCAAAGAAATCTAATTGAAATTTTAAAAAATCTTTGATTTTTATCCACCCGGATTCCAACTAAACATCAGGAAGAACTTTTCTGAGGGTGAGAGCTGTTCAGTGGTGGAACGGTCTCCTTTGAAAGATGGTGGACTCTCCTTCCTTCGAGGTTTTAAAATAGAGGTCGGATGGAAATATCTCAGGGGTTCTTGAGCTGTCATTCCTGTATTGTAGGGGGGTTAGACTATTAGACTAGATGAGCATTCGGGGTCCCTTCTGGCCCCACCGTTCTGTGGTTCTATGATCATCTTGTTCCTGGCTGCAGGTTTGGCATCTGCCTCATCCCTCGCGCCTCCGAGGACCGCTATGACTGCTACAAGTGTCACTGGCGAGAAGGCAAGATGAGCGGTTATGGGATTTGCGAGTGAGTAAGCCTTGCAAAGGTTATGGGGTTCACGGGTGGTGCTGTGGGTTAAACCACAGAGCCTAGGACTTGCCGATCAGAAGGTCGGTGGTTTGAATCCCCTTGACGGGGTGAGCTCCCGTTGCTCGGTCCCTGCTCCTGCCCACCTAGCAGTTCGAAAGCACGTCAAAGTGCAAGTAGATAAATAGGTACCGCTGTGACAGGAAGGTAAACAGCATTTCCGTGCGCTGCTCTGGTTCGCCATGCTGGCTACACGACCCGGAAGCTGTGCACCGGCTCCCTTGGCCAATAAAGCGAGATGAGTGCCGCAACCCCGGAGTTGGTCACGACTGGACCTAATGGTCTGGGGTCTCTTTACCTTTACCTTAAGCCTTGCAAAGGGACACAGGTGGCACTGTAGGTTAAACCACAGAGCCTAGGACTTGCCGATCAGAAGGTCGGCGGTTCGAATCCCCTTGACGGGGTGAGCTCCTGTTGCTCGGTCCCTGCTCCTGCCAGCCTAGCAGTTCAAAAGCACGTCAAAGTGCAATAGGTAATGCTCCGGCGGGAAGGTAAAAGGCGTTTCCATGCGCTGCTCTGGTTCGCCAGAAGCGCTTTAGTCATGCTGGCCACATGACCCGGAAGCTGTACGCCGGCTCCCTCGGCCAATAAAGCGAGATGAGTGCCACAACCCCAGAGTCGGCCACGACTGGACCTAATGGTCAGGGGTCCCTTTACCCTTTGCCTTTTTTAAGCCTTGCAAAAGAGGTTGTTTCCACCTTCTCCATGCTCACACCTGCAAGTGGATAGGCTGTTTCCAACTTTACAATTCCCTGATTTTATACTGCATAATCATCACAATCCTTAAGCATCTTATAGAAACTATATGTGCAAATTGTCAGTGGAATCAAACGTTAAGAACGAGTTGACCCCCTCCCAATTTTTCAAAATAAAACCAGCAGTTTCAAAAATGCACACTATGAATTGAAATTTACGTATTAAAATTCATGTCCCATTTAAAAGTCTGGGTAGGCCTGCTTAAGCTTTTAGCAGGCACCAGAAGCAGTTACAACGCTAGAATCAATTGGCGGGAGTTCCAAAGTTGCCAAATAGCATCCCAAATAGATGTTGCGTGCATTTTCCCCAGGTATGGCGACGAGATGGTCTACAAAGGGTATTTCAAGGACAACGTACGCCAAGGGTTTGGCATCTTGGAGAACGCTTCGGACGCTGAGCAGCCGTTCAAGTACTCCGGGCACTGGGAAAATGACAAGAAACACGGCTATGGCGTCTGGGACGACAAAGAGAGGTAAGTCACCCATTAATTTGGAGCCTTTTTCTTTAAGCCGCCCGCTGTACAGTGGTACCTTGGTTTCAGAACAGCTTATGTTTGTGAACAACTTTGAAATAGAACGCTGCAAACCCAGAAGTAGGTGTTCTGGTTTGTGAACTTTGCCTTGGAACAGGCATAGGCAAACCCCGGCCCTCCAGATGTTTGGGACTACAATTCCCATCATCCCTGACCATTGGTCCTGTTAGCTAGGAATGATGGGAATTGTAGTTCCAAAACATCTGGAGGGCCGGAGTTTGCCCTATGCCTGCCTTGGAAGCGGAACATGTTCCGCTTTCTGTTGAGTGTGTTCCGTTTTTAAATTGAGTCCCCCGCTGCTAATCAGAGCATAGCTGTCAACGTTTCCCCCTTTTTAAGGCAAATTCCCTTATTCCAAATAGGATTCCTCGCAAGAAAAGGGAAAAGTTGACAGCTATGTATCAGAGGCTTCCTGTTGAGGCTGTCGGCTGCTGAGTCCCGAGCACCCACACAATGCAGAGGTGATATTTGGAGCTTTAGTTTTTGCATTTTATTTTATATTTGTGTTTTTGTTTGTGCGGCTTTTTCATTTTTTTTTTTGACTGTGACTTGTTCTTCGTTTTATGGGACTGATGTGTCACTGTGCCTTGTGTCTTCGTTTTTGTGACTGTGGCTTGTGACTTCGTTTTCGTTACTTGTTTTTGTGACTGTGTGGAACCCAGTTCAGCTACTGATTGATTGATTAATTGATTGATTGTGTGACTGCAGAAATGGATAAAAGCCCCCCATCCAAACAATGACTATCATCAGTGCATGTAAGAATTTTATTTTTTTAAAAAAATTATCATCTGCAATATTATCTTATTTATTTTATAGTACAGTACACTGAATATTGCATTTCATTTTTATCGTTTTGAGTGTTACACTGAGGTCTGTCTGTTTTTGCTATTTATTTTGTGTTTGTGTTTTTGTGGCTCTTTTTTGTTTTGTTTTTGTGACTGTGAGGAGCCCCATTCCGCTACTGATGGATTGTGTGACTGCAGTACATTGTTTATTGCTTTCATTTTATGGATCAGTGGTCCCGTTAGAGAGTAAAATTCACGTTAAGTTGCTGTTTTAGGGGTTGTTTTCAAAAGTCTGGAACGGATTAATCCCTTTTGCATTACTTTCTATGGGAAAACGCGCCTTGGTTTTAGAACGCTTTGGTTTTGGAACGGACTAAGTTTGGGAACCAAGGTACCACTGTAATGAGGTTTGCAGAAAGAGAATATGGTCGGAATGATTTATTTGGCTTTCATCCTGATATTATGGCAGTGGCATATCCCGACTCTACAATTCTGTGATTCCTCTCGTTCTATTTCAGAGGAGAGAGGTACATTGGGATGTGGCAGGAAGACCAGAGACATGGACCGGGGCTTGTGCTCATGCAGTCGGGCGTCTGCTATCAGAGAACTTTCCACATGGATAAAATGGTGGTAAGGATCACCGGGAAATAAAATGTTTGAACTCTCATGCAGGCTTGTCAGGTAGCCTTCACCAAGTGCTTTCTTTAAAATAAAAAAAATTTATGATTTTCAATTTTATACATTTCGATAATTTTACAGTCATTTTGACATTTCAAAACTCGACTTCCTTCCCCCTGTTTCTGCGGTTCCTTAAATTCATTTTTCATAGTTTCTGCATATCCAGATTAGCTTAATTTGCTCATATATTCATCCACTTTAAATATATACACTTTTATAAAACTGCAGGTTATTACGAGAATCCTTCCAATGTTCTTATCTGTTTACAGTTTATTTGTAACTATTCCATTCTTTTATATAAAAAAGTTTGTTATCTTGATTTCTTATTTTTCTGGTAAGTTTTGCCATTTCTGCATATTCCATAAGTTTTTGTATCCATTCTTCTTTTGCTGGGACTTCTTCTTTCCATTTTTGGGCGAGTAGCATTATTTCCGCTGTGGTCGCTCATGAATAAATTTCTATACAGTTTGGGTAGTTCTGTCCCTATAATTCCCAAAAGGAAAGCTTCTGGGTTTTTTTTTTTACAAATGTTAATTCAAACACATTTTCCAGTTCATTATATATCATTTCCCAGCAAGCTTTAACCTTACTACAAGACCACCACGTATGATAAAAAGAACCTTCTTTACATTTCCTATACTTACAGTGGTACCTCGGGTTACAGACGCTTCAGGTTACAGACTCCGCTAACCCAGAAATAGTACCTCGGGTTAAGAACTTTGCTTCAGGATGAGAACAGAAATTGCGCGGCGGCAGTGGGAGGCCCCATTAGCTAAAGTGGTGCTTCAGGTTAAGAACAGTTTCAGGTTAAGAACGGACCTCCGGAACGAATTAGATTCTTAACCCGAGGTACCACTGTATTTGATTTGGATCTTTGCCAATTTACTCAAGTGTCGTGCCAAAGCAAGTCTTACAAACATCCCTGCAAGGTGGTCCAGTATCATATTGCAAGGATGGAGGCTGAGAGACAAGGACCTAGGAGAAATTTGAACCAGCAGAGCCTCACTCTTCTTCCTACTTTTTATTTTAAAAAGGGAAGAAAAGTTTCTAGCTCGTATGAGTGCAGATAGACGCTTGCAGAGGCGGAGGATTGCCTGGACTCAAGAGTTCCATCAGAATAACTTCTGCAAAATAAAAAGTCATTTGAGTTAGTCAAGTTTGCAGAATGTTATATGGGTTTCATAATTCCACCTTCCTTTTTTAAGTATGCTCAGTTAGGAGGCATGTTTTGCTAATTTACCTCCCCTTCTCTCCTACGATCTACAGGGACCTGGGACGCTCCTCCTGGAAGACGACTCAATCTTCGTGGGAAACTTCACCAGAGACTTGACTTTTGTCGGCAAAGTGAGTTGTGGGCTCGGCTTTTCGATTGCTCTGGGTTTAAAAAGCTGCGAACTGGGCTTGACTGACCACATTTGGGTCGGGAAAGAGTGTGCTGTTTGGAAAATATCCCTAAAGCCATGCTTTTAAGATGCTGGCAGGGCCAGATTTAGATTTGATGCGGCCCTCTGCTACTGAAGGTAATGGAGTCCTTTCAATGTCCAGCTGTCCTTTGTCAACAACAAATTGTCACTGTTTTTTGTGTTGAATATATGCTATATGGTAATTTATGGACCTAATAGATATATTTTTTTTGGTTTTTATCTTATATTTTGAAAATGTACACCTGGGGTTTTTTTCCTTTAATTTTTTTGGGGGCCCCCAAGAGAGTGGGGCCCTAAGCTATACTTTGTTTAGCTTATACGTAAATCCGTCACTGCTCTCTGGTCATCATGAGAACCTCGTAACATGAAGAACTTCATGTTTGCTTCTTTTTCCTTTTCCCTCCTCAACCTTTCCCCCTTTGCTGCTGTGTCACTTCCTTTGGGTATGTAAGCTTCACAGGAGGAACTATGTTGCTCTTGGACATGGGTAGGCAAACTAAGGCCCGAGGGCCGGATCCGGCCCAATTGCCTTCTAAATCCGGCCCACGGGCGGTCTGGGAATCAGTGTGTTTTTACATGAGTAGAATGTGTCCTTTTCTTTAAAATGCATCTCTGGGTTAATTGTGGGGCATAGGAATTCATTCATCCCCCCCCCCAAGAAAATATAGTCCGGCCCCCAACAAGGTCTGAGCGACAGTGGACCGGCCCCCTGCTGAAAAAATTGCTGACCCCTGTTAGAATTCCTGCTCCATGATTGCAGTCATGGGATTGTTGTCTATCACATGACGGTGTATGTTTTGACTCCACAAAGTGAGAGGTGACAGAGACAGGATGTTTGTGTTACTGTGTTCTGTGAAGTGGGACTATTGTCCTTTGTTCTTTTTCTCTTTGCTGTCTGATGCTAGAGAGAGAGGGAGCCATGTTGCAGTGCTCCATGTGTGTTTATATGTAAATAAAGTAGATTAGCCAAAATGCTGAGTTGCTGAGGTCTGTTACGCAACTGCGAAGACTCTGCAGATCCCTAAGTGTGCTAGTGTCGGTTTGCATCGGTCGCTGTGATGTTCAGGCGGAAGAAAGCTTTTGAAGCTCCCAAACGACCAGGAGGGAGAGAACATGCCAGTCGGGCATGTGTATCTGCCAGGGTCCTACTCGAGTGTAGGACGAGCTCTTGACAACCCCTGCTCTTGGACTTACTCTGCCTGGAGAACAGTGGGGGCATTAATGAATATTTGGAGTTGCGTGTAAAGGTAAACGTAACCATTAGGTCCAGTTGTGACCGACTCTGGGGTTGCCTGCCGGAGTGGTACCTATTTATCTACTTGCACTCTGGTGTGCTTTCGAACTGCTAGGTTGGCAGGAGCAGGAACTGAGGAACGGGAGCTCACCCCGTCGCGGGGATTCGAACCGCCAACCTTCTGATCGGCAAGTCATAGGCTCTGTGATTTAACCCACAGCGCCACCCGCGTCCTGGAGATGTGTGTACCATGGCCCAATAGGGATGATTTCCCATTCCCCCCGCAAAGCAGGAATCTCAATTTGCCAGAGGAAATGCCATCCGTCGGTTAACCTACGTGTTCCTTGTCAGTGATGCCAGGCTCCCCGAAATTCTGCTGCCACTATGCAATCCAGGGTATGAATGGTTTTGAATGAATGAATGAAAAATTAACTCTGGCTTTTGGGGATGGTTTTCAGGGCAAGCTGACCTTCCCAAACGGATTCACCCTGGAGGGGACGTTCAGCAGCAAATCAACCCACGGGCTGCAAACTCAAGGAATCCTGGACACGTCTGGCGAACAGGATGACACCGCAGAGAAACTGTAAGTGGGAGTCAAGAGTGTGGTTTACCTCTGAAAGAACGTTTTTTCATATGTGGTCGACTTGTAAAAGGGTAAAGGAGTATTGGGAAATAATAATAATAATAATAATAATAATAATAATGTGGTACCTCAGGTTACATACGCTTCAGGTTACATATGCTTCAGGTTACAGACTCCGCTAACCCAGAAATAGTGCTTGAGGTTAAGAACTTTGCTTCAGGATGAGAACAGAAATTGTGCACCGGTGGCGAGGCAGCAGCAGGAGGCACCATTAGCTAAAGTGGTGCTTCAGGTTAAGAACAGTTTCAGGTTAAGTACGGACCTCCGGAATGAATTAAGTACTTAACCTGAGGTAGCACTGTAAATAATTTTATTTATACCCCGCCCTCCCCAGCCAAGACTGGGCTCAGGGTGGCTGACACCAGATATAAAACAATTGATTGAAATACAACTTAAAAAACAAGATTAAAATACAACATTTCAGCAGAAACTCCAAAACTTTTTTGGGGATGAAAACGTCAAGTCCTCACCAAGGGTAACTATCCAGACTGGTCCTACGTGGGCCAGAAAATAATTTATAATGAAGTGAAAATAATGTTTAAAAGCACCTTTCCCCCAAAAGCCAGAGTCCTTTTTTGGGAGGTGTGTGTGTGTGGGGGAATTCAGATGGAAATTTCCAGGTGTCAAAAAGGGTTATTTATGTACACCAGTACGGTGGCCCAAGCCCAAAAATGGAAAACGAGCGAGGTCCCTACCAAAGAAGGATGGCAACTTAAATTGATGGAATATGCGCAGCTTGCAGACCTAACTTATAGAATAAGAGAACAAGAGGGAAGATTGGAAAATGTTTATTGAATATATGGGGGGAATTGTGTACACTTGAAAACGTTGGCAGACTTAAGAGAAATTCAACAGTGTAAATAAGTTTTGACGGAAGTAATAATGGAATACAGAATGGTTTCGTTTATGTAAAATCTGCAGGGATTTGTGATACGTGAAATGAACCACGGAAAGGGAAGAAGGGAAGTGACTGATATTTTAAGGTTGTGTAAATGAATATTCTAAATTGTAAAAGAGAAAATGTAATAAAAATTATATTTTGACTATTTTGCTAGAGCAGCCCCAGACTTTGAATCGCAGGCAGAAAATTTAATAAAAATGATATAGACAGATCGATTAATAAAAAGAGAGCTTGGTTAACCTCTTAAGTACCAGTGCTTTGGCCTAAAGCGGGGGCAACTTTCTTCCTGCCTTTCATAGGCTTGTTGAGTCAGGAGGGAACCTCAAGGGTTGTTACTCTTGTTAGCCGCTCTGAGCCCGGCTTTGGCTGGGGAGGGCAGGATATAAATAAATTATTATTATTATTATTATTATTATTATTATTATTATTATCCAGTTCAACCCCCTTCCACACAGGAATTGCAGCAGATCTTGGGCTAGCCGTTCGCTCTTAGCCTAACCTCCGTCACAATGTTGTTTTTCTGAGGGTGAAGACGGAGGCGAGTAGGAACCACGGTTATTGCGATTATTTCGATATTGTTTTACCACGACGCAAACATGTTTAGAGTCTGTGCTTTTGCTGCCCCCTTGAGCTCTTCAGAGGGAAGGCGAGGAATAAATATAATTAAAAGAAGACAACCAATGTGGGAATGGAGAAGCGTTGCCTGGGGTGAAGGATCGTTTGCGGCGATTTGATCTTAATTTATTTCTTGCATTTACACCACATCTTTCTCCTCCCCAACGAGGAGCTTAAAATGGCACACGCGGCCCTTTCCCTCCTCATTCAATCCCCACGACAACAGCAACCCTGAGAGGGAGACAGGGAGAAGGCAGTGACTAATCCAGGCTTTCTCCACCTACGATGCCGTTGGACTACAACTCCTATCACCCCCCCCTCCAGCCAGCTTGGCTAGTGGTCAGGGATGTAGCTCAAGAACATCTGAGAGAGGCTGCTCTAACCACTGCACCACACTTCCTCTCTTGGCTCATTCACACAGGGATGCTGCCTCCGTTACTCTGCAGCCATCGAGGGACGGGAAGGCAGGGGTTGTGTGAATTTGAATGCATAGCAGGGGGTTGGACTAGATGTTATATATATATATATATATATATATATATATATATATATATATATTTGCTTTCGTAGATTTTCACGGGTACAGGAATGCAGGTTTTGGTGTCCTCGGGTGTCTTCCCGTGTAAAAGTTGGGGTGTCTAGGCGACGTTTCGACGAGGTCTCACTCGTCATCTTCAGGCTGGTGCTTTCGGCTTCTTGTTACTGGAACAGAGCAGGATCTCAGTGTTTGAGTTCCTATAAATACTGTTGAGGAGGTGTGGTGTATAGCCTCCAATGTTCTGGGCAGAGAGGAAGTTCCCAGGCTAGTGTGCCTTTTCTTCTTTTGTTCCTTAATTACTTGAGGGATATCTTGAGTGATTTCTTGAGTGATATCCTGAGTACCACTTAGGTGGGTCATTAGGTGTGGATTAGTTGCTAAAGCCTTCGTGTCTTGACCTCTTGAACTTTGTGAAGAGTTTTTCTGAGAAGATGGCTGTACTGCACTTAGTTGTGCTCTGGCTTGGCTTCGTGTATAGGGGCGAGCTGTGGTTTTGTGGCCTGTGCCAGCCAGATCTGTGTAGGGATTGCAGGGGGGTGCAGCATCCGGAGGTGCCACCATGGTTTGGCTACTGGATGGTGTCTGTAATTTATCTGTGGAGAGGGTCTGGGTTTGGGTCTGGTGTGGTTGATTGGTGATGGCGTTCTGTGTGCCTCTGGATCTGGTGTCGGTTTTTGTGGGGAGGGCTAATTTCCAGATGTCTGGCAGGCGGGATGTGTCGTCACGCTTGTTCATGTTGTGAGGGTGTTTCTCTATCTCGATGGCTTCCATGATTATTCTCTTGTGGTGATGTTCCATGTTAAAGAGCAATTTGGAATCTGCAAAATTAATTTCGTGTCCTGTTTCTTTCATGTGTTGGAAAAGAGAGGAAGTTTTTTCTTCTTTTTTGACGGCATTCTTGTGTTCTGCGATACGTGCATTTATTCGTCTGTTTGTTTGTCCAATGTACGTGGCTGGGCAGACTTTGCAGGGTATTTCATAGACCCCTTGGGTATTTCATAGATCCAGTTGGAAAACCAAGGGGTCTATGAAATACCCTGCAAAGTCTGCCCAGCCACGTACATTGGACAAACAAACAGACGAATAAATGCACGTATCGCAGAACACAAGAATGCCGTCAAAAAAGAAGAAAAAACTTCCTCTCTTTTCCAACACATGAAAGAAACAGGACACGAAATTAATTTTGCAGATTCCCAAATTGCTCTTTAACATGGAACATCACCACAAGAGAATAATCATGGAAAGCCATCGAGATAGAGAAACACCCTCACAACATGAACAAGCGTGACGACACATCCCGCCTGCCAGACATCTGGAAATTAGCCCTCCCCACAAAAACCGACACCAGATCCAGAGGCACACAGAACGCCATCACCAATCAACCACACCAGACCCAAACCCAGACCCTCTCCACAGATAAATTACAGACACCATCCAGTAGCCAAACCATGGTGGCACCTCCGGATGCTGCACCCCCCTGCAATCCCTACACAGATCTGGCTGGCACAGGCCACAAAAACCACAGCTCGCCCCTATACACGAAGCCAAGCCAGAGCACAACTAAGTGCAGTACAGCCATCTTCTCAGAAAAAACTCTTCACAAAGTTCAAGAGGTCAAGACACGAAGGCTTTAGCAACTAATCCACACCTAATGACCCACCTAAGTGGTACTCAGGATATCACTCAAGAAATCACTCAAGATATCCCTCAAGTAATTAAGGAACAAAAGAAGAAAAGGCACACTAGCCTGGGAACTTCCTCTCTGCCCAGAACATTGGAGGCTATACACCACACCTCCTCAACAGTATTTATAGGAACTCAAACACTGAGATCCTGCTCTGTTCCAGTAACAAGAAGCCGAAAGCACCAGCCTGAAGATGACGAGTGAGACCTCGTCGAAACGTCGCCTAGACACCCCAACTTTTACACGGGAAGACACCCGAGGACACCAAAACCTGCATATATATATATATATATATATATATATATTACCAACCACCAAACACAGTGAAACCCCGCCCCCAGGCAGCTGATACATATTCAATAATACAATATTCAATAATATACATATTCAATATTATTCAATAATAACATATTCAACCATATGTACGCTTCTATATACATTTACACTCCTCCTTCCACAAGGTTTATTTAACTTTTAACATTTTAATTACTCCAAATTGTTCAAATAATTCAGTAGCTTCTCAAACCAATCCTCCTCTTTCTCACTGACCTTAAACCCTTTCATTCTATGTATCTGCACAGTTAGGTATTCTAAAATTATAATATTATTCAGTTTTTCCCTCCATTGGTTCACCCTTAACTCTTCTGCATTTTCCTAGTCACTCGCTATAGCCTGTCTGGCTGCAATTGCCATCAATTTTACCCATTTGCATTCCTCTTTTGTTTTTAACTCGGTCACACGTGGGGTTGGACTAGATGACCCTCGGTGTCCCTTCCGACTCTGTGATTCTTGGAGACCTCGTCTGAGAAACCTTTCTCTCCTTGTTCAGACAGCTGGGTCAGGAAGTATTCCCGGTAGAGAAAAGATGGGAAGGCCTCTGCAGTCCCTTCCTGGAGTTCATCCACTCAGGCGGTCAAGGGGAAACAGAGGAGGCTTTCATGGGCTTCCACGTCCAGACGAGCAAAGAGCTGAGGAAATCCCAGGAGTATCTCTTCTGCCACAGGTGAGGAGAAGGGCTTGGAGCGAAACCTGAACTCAGGTCACATTTGAAAAGGGAGCCGAGACCATATAACCCCGGTCCAGACCTACATTGGCTCCCAGTTCGTTTCCGAGCACAATTCAAAGTGTTGGTGCTGACCTTTCAAGCCCTAAATGGCCTCAGCCCAGTATAATAATAATAATAATAATAATAATAATAATAATAATTTAATAATTTATTTATACCCTACCCATCTGGCTGGGTTTCCCCAGCTACTCTGGGCGGCTTCCAACAAAGTATTAAAATACAGTAGTCTGTTAAACATTAAAAACTTCCCTGAAGAGGGCTGCCCTCAGATGTCTTCTAAAAGTCTGGTAGCTGTTCTTCTCTTTGACATCTGGTGGGAGGGCGTTCCACAGGACGAGAAGGTCCTCTGCCTGGTTCCCTGTAACTTGGCTTCTCGCAGGGAGGGAACCACCAGAAGGCCCTCAGAGCTGGACCTCAGTGTCCAGGCAGAATCTGAAGGAGCATCTCCACCCCCATCATTCTGCCTGGACAAGAATAAAAAATGGGAGGCAAATCGTGTTAGGAGACGTTTTCAGTGGTGATGGACTACTGTACTCTGTTAATCTTTGTCCTCTCAGAGGGACTGAAGAGGCTCCCAAGAAAGTTGACTATCTTGAAGAACTCATTGAACACCAGGAGAAGGATGACCTGCAAGATTACCTGCACCAGGTAAATTGTTCCACGCTGTTTGCATAATAGCTCTGTTGGTTAGAGTGTGATTCTGATAACGCCAAGTAGGGCTGTCTTTAGCATTTGTGCCCCCAGGATGCAAAATCTGCCCAGCACCCCCAAATTTAGTTTAGCCCTCCAATTAACTTGTATTATGCCTTATGTCAATATTGGGGACGCGGGTGGCACTGTGGTCTAAACCAGTGTTTCCCAACCAGTGTTCCGCGGCACACTAGTGTGCCGCGAGACGTTGCCTGGTGTGCCGTGGGAGGGAGGCGGGCGAGTCGGGCGGCGAGAGGCGGGGCGGCGGCGGCGAGGAGAGGCCGCCCAGCGCGGGGCTCTCGCCGTCTGCCTGCCTGGCTGCCTGCGTGGCGCTGACGTCACGGGGCTGTAACGTGCCCCACATAGGCACACGTGGGGCGGCGAGCGAGCTCCCTCCCCACATCCCATCGCCGCTCGCTTCGGCCGGCCTACTGAGCTGTCGCAGGCGGAAGGCCTGCGCATGCGCGAGGTTTTCGCGCCTTCGGGATTCCCTTCACGCCTTCCTCCTCCCGGGTCCTTGAGAGCGCGGGAAGCGGCAGCGCGAGACCGGCGTTGAGCCTGGTAGGTATTGCGCTTGCCAAGGCAGTCATTTGGGAAATGAAAACTTGCAAAGCAAGCTACCAGTTCAATCTGAAGTACGTGTATGCTTAATATCCTGTATCTGAAACCTGTTCTGCCCCCTCCCCCACACTTGGTGCCATTTTCATCTACACATGCAGCAGAGTAAGTTGACCCAGAATAGTACCAATTCAGATGGCAGATGGGAGAATGACAGTGCTGAATGCTTTCCCATGTAGAACAGTCCCTGCAAATAAAAACCTAGCATATTTGGAAGAGGGATGCTAGCCTAACCATTACCTTCTATGCTGTTACTATTTTTTTATTTTTTTTTTACATAAGTAAAAAGTGACCTTTCCCCATCTGGCATGGTGGTGTGCCTCGAGATTTTTTTCATGAAACAAGTGTGCCTTTGCCCAAAAAAGGTTGGGAAACACTGGTCTAAACCGATTGGAAGGTCGGTGGTTCAAATCCCCGCGACGGGGTGAGCTCCCCTTGTTTGGTCCCAGCTCCTGCCAACCTAGCCTTGAATCTTTTTTTTTTAATTGGTTTTACAATTTTATATTCAACATAATCATCATCAACACAAGAAGATATATATTAATCTTAATATCCCCCACCCACACCCACCCTTGACTTCTCTCAACTTCCTCTTCTGGTTCTTTAAATATTTGCTTCTTCTGTTTATTTTATTTTACCTTAATTCTGAAATCTTTTAACTAAATGTTCTTATATTCTTACCATTTTTTATACCAAATCTTTCCAAATGACCTCTTGCACTTTATTTTCCAAGTTATCGCTCCTTAAATTTCACACTTGATTTCTTAATTGTGTTTGCTCAAACCCTGCCAGTGAGTCCACTTCTTTACAATATTTTTCTATGTACAACATAAACGGTTCCCAATCTTTCTTAAAGTCTCTGTTTTCCTTATCTGTAAGTTTACCAATAAGCTTCTCCATTTTGGTATATTCCATACGTTTTGCTTGCCACTCTTCTTTCGTGTCTTTTCATCTTTCCATTTTTGGGCTAGCAAGATCTAGCCGCTGTTGTAGCATGCATGAAAAACTTCTTCCAGTCTTTTGGCAAGTCCTGTCCTGTAATACCTAACAAAAAGGCTTCTGGGTTTTTTTTAAACAAATGTCTTAAACATGTTTTTCATTTCATTGTACAGTCATACCTCTTGTTACGTTTGGTTCAGGTTACGTCCTGCGGCGACCCGGAAGTACCGGAAAGGGTTACTTCCGGGTTTCGCCGCTCGCGCATGCGCAGACGCTCAGAATGATGTCATGTGCATGCGCAGAAGCAGCGAATCGCGACCCGCAGATGCAGGTTGCATTCTGCTCATGTTGCGAACGGGGCTCCGGAACGGATCCCGTTCGCAACCAGAGGTACCACTGTAAATCAATTCCCAATAGCTGAGTCTTGCCTTGAATCTGAAGAGGCTCTGTTTTCCCGTCGCTTTCGCAGGCTCTGCAATCTTCTCTGCACCCGCTGGGGAAATTCCTGAAGGCTCTGATGTTGGCGTTCCAAGCCAGCTACTCTGGAATCGGAGCGAACAAACATCTTCTCAGCATGGCGCAAGAGGAGGTCAAGCATACGCAAAGAAGATTTGGGAATTCTACCAGTACGTATTTGCACACTGCGGTGCCCCTCTGGGATGGTCGTTTTTGCTCCGAGAAACTCAAAGAGGATGCACCTTGCAGGTGACCTCTTGCGTAGCTTACCTTGCAGCAAATTTTGCCAGGGGATTCTTTTCAAGGATGCGCTAGTGAAATCCAAACCCCCAGGGCTTTTGTATATGTGGAGAGAGTCTCTTCCTTTAAATTCCTAGAAGTTTATCTCAGTGAAGACCTTACTTGGAAAATCAATACAACCCAGGTGGTTAAAAAAGCCCAACAGAGACTCCATCTCCTCAGAATATTGCGGAAGAACGATGTCAAACAACATTTGATGATCTCCTTCTACCGGACCACAATAGAAAGTGTCCTTTCCTACTGCATCACGGTGTGGGACGCTGGTTTGACATCATCTGATAGGAAGTGCCTACAGAGGGTGGTGAATACAGCACAAGATATTATGGGCTGTCCTGTGAATCCGCTGGATGACATCGCGGAAAAACGTTGCCTCAGGAGAGTGAGGAAAATTCTCAGGGATGATTCACACCCTGGCCGGCACTTTCTTGATCTCCTGCCCTCGTGCAGAAGATATAGAAGCAGGATTAGTCGCACCAACAGGGTAAAGAACAGCTTCTATCTCTGGGCTGTTAGGCTGCTGAAGGAAAAGATAACAACAGGGCAATTGACTTTCAGGTTTGGTATGCGTGTGTCAGTAAAGGAGGGGAATTAAGACTAAGAGAGCTGAGTGGGGGGTGCTCGTGTAATCTCACTATATACAAGTTGTACAAGTGACAATAAAGTATTTCAGTTTCAATATGCAGATAAGTAATGATGGGGCCCTGGAACATGGTTACCGTTTAGAGGGAGTGATAATGGTTCCTGTCACAGCCAATGCAGGTGTTTAGCGAAGATAGAAAGAGGGTTCAGAAAGTATTGGAATCCTGGGGTTTCGCAGAAGCACAAGAAATCTTTAATAGAATAATTCACAGGAAGCAAATCCAATGAGCATCCTCAGTAGCCAATAGGTGCTGAGTCTAGGGTGGCAGAGGGAGAGAGTATGAAATGGGGCACCCTTGGGAGAGCCTGGCTGGTGAACTGCAATTCCCAGTATTCTTGGGTGCAAACCAGACCAGTCTTTAAAGTTTTTCACAGGTAGCTAATGGTGGGAATGTTGAGGATAGTAGGAGAGGCTATATTGATTAAATATTATCCTTCCTCACTCACGCTAGTGAAAATAAAAAATTCCTTCCAGTAGCATCTGAAGAAGTGTGCATGCATACGAAAGCTCATACCAAGTGTATCTGAAGAAGTGTGCATGCATACGAAAGCTCATACCAAGAACTAACTTAGTTGGTCTTTAAGGTGCTACTGGAAGGAATTTTTTTATTTTGACTATGGCAGACCAACACGGCTACCTATCTGTAACTCACGCTAGTGAGCTAGTGTTGTTTAGTCATTTAGTCGTGTCCGACTCTTCGTGACCCCATGGACCAGAGCACACCAGGCACTCCTGTCTTCCACTGCCTTCCGCAGTTTGGTCAAACTCATGCTGGTAGATTTGAGAACACTATCCAACCATCTCGTCCTCTGTCATCCCCTTCTCCTTGTGCCCTTCATCTTTCCCAACATCACGGTCTTTTCCAGGGAGTCTTCTCTTCTCCTGAGGCGACCAAAGTATTGGAGCCTCAGCTTCAGGATCTGTCCTTCCAGTGAGCACTTAGGGCTGATTTCCTTAAGAATGGAGAGGTTTGATCTTCTTGCAGTCCATGGGACTCTCAAGAGTCTCCTCCAGCACCATAATTCAAAAGCATCCATTCTTTGGCGATCAGCCTTCTTTATGGTCCAGCTCTCACTTCCATACATCACTACTGGGGAAACCATAGCTTTAACTATATGGACCTTTGTTGGCAAGGTGATGTCTCTACTTTTTAAGATGCTGTCTAGGTTTGTCATGGCTTTTCTCCCAAGAAGCAGGCGTCTCTTAATTTCGTGACTGCTGTCACCATCTGCAGTGATCATGGAACCCAAGAAAGTAAAATCTCTCACTGCCTCCATTTCTTCCCCTTCTATTTGCCAGGAGGTGATGGGACCAGTGGCCATGATCTCCGTTTTTTTGATGTTGAGCTTCAGACCATATTTTGCGCTCTCCTCTTTCACCCTCAATAAAAGGTTCTTTAATTCCTCCTCACTTTCTGCCATCAAGGTTGTGTCATCTGCATTTCTGAGGTTGTTGATATTTTTTCCGGCAATCTTATTCCAGCTAGGGAAGTAAGCTAGTAGGAAAGCACATTCCCTTGTACATAGCAGGAAGCTAGCTGATAGATTTGTTAGAACCATTTGAGTTCAGCAATCCTGTCTGGCTTGTGAACACCCACTGATTTAAGTGGCCCTAATTTCCTTTTATTTGCTGTTTTTGCCATTCAGGGGCTTGCTGCGTCTTGCGTTGGAGGTCAAAGGTCAACCGTCTGCTGGAGGCATGGAGGAGAGGTAGTGGCAAGAGATGGTTTTTCTTGCTTCTTGCATGCACGAAGCTGCTTCACACTGATTCAGATCCTTGGTCCAGCTAGTTCAGTATTGTCGACACTGGCTGGCAGCAGCTCGCCAGGTTTTTCTTTTCTTTTTTTTAATAAATATTTTTTATTAGATTTTCCATTAAAAAAAAAACATTTTTACAAAATTATACAACCATTTTTAACTTAAACCCTTTTTTACAGAACTTCCCTCAGTTTGTCTGATAATTTTCCATTTATTTTTTTATCCTCGTCTCATATTTCCCAATATTATATTGCACTCAAATAATCTTAATCACATCATATTTTTTAAACAATATTTCTAACAGTAATTTCACAGAGCTTCTTGAAAGCCAACGAACGTTATTTGCTCATCACATAAATTTTTGATGTACTCAGTAAATTTCTTCCAGTCCTCGGAGAATCTCTGGTCACGTTGGTTTCTAATTCTCCCCGTCAATCTGTCCATTTCTGCGTATTCCATCAGTTTCATCCTCCATTCTTCTTTCGTGGGCATCTCTTCCTGTTTCCATTTCTGTGCCAGCAAGCTCGCCAGGTTTTTCAGCCCTACTTGGATGCCTTTGAGGATACCCTTGAGCATGCCCTACCATTGACCCACAACCCTTATAATATGGGGCATAGCCCCTGCCTTCCCAATTAATTATCACCATTGTGGGTTACATCCTAGTCCTATTTTAAAGTGCATTGCAATCTATTTATTTATTTGCAATTAGATTCTACTGTGGGGAGCCGGGTGGCGCTGTGGTCTAAACCACTGAGCCTCTCGGGCTTGCCGATCAGAAGATCGGCGGTTCAAATCCCCGCGACGGGGTGAGCTCCCGTTGCTCGGTCCCAGCTCCTGCCAACCTAGCAGTTTGGAAGCACGTCAAAGTGCAAGTAGATAAATAGGTACCACTGTGGCAGGAAGGTAAATGGCGTTTCCGTGCACTGCTCTGGTTCGCCAGAAGCTGCTTAGTCCTGCTGGCCACATGACCCAGAAAAACTCTCTGCGGACAAACATTGGCTCCCTCGGCCTGTAAAGCGAGATGAGCGCCACAACCCCAGAGTCGTTTGCGACTGGACTTAAATGTCAGGGGTCCTTTACCTTTTTAGATTCTACTTTATTTCCTTCTAGAGCTCCATCAAAGCCCACGGTGTGCTTAGCAACAGGGGATTCTGATCAAAAACAGGTCCCTGCCCCTATGATCCTACAAGAAAAGACCCTCTCCCACTAACCTACCCTCAATGGTTGGCTCCATTCTGACCCAGCTACTTGATTAGAATGCATTAATCCGATTTGAGGTTTCATTTTCAATCAAGCAGTGTCTAAATTTTACAAAATAAACATTCTGCATTTTTTTTAAAAAAGATCCTTTTTACACTGCTCTGTTTCCCAAGGCCGGTTTGCGAAAAGCAAGCGCCAAGCACAAGGTCCTCTGCGAATAATAATAATAATAATAATAATAATAATTTTTTACTTATACCCCACCCATCTGGCTGGGTTTCCCCTGCCACTCTGGGAGGCTTTCAACAGAGTGTTAAAATACAGTAGTCTGTTAAACATTAAAAGCTTCCCTAATGAGGGCTGCCTTCAGATGTCTTCTAAAAGTCTGGTAGTTGTTCTTCTCTTTGACATCTGGTGGGAGGGCGTTCCACAGGGTGGGGGCCACTACCGAGAAGGCCCTCTGCCTGGTTCCCTGTAACTTGGCTTCTCGCAGGGAGGGAACCGCCAGAAGGCCCTCGGCGCTGGACCTCAGTGTCCAGGCAGAACGATGGGGGTGGAGATGCTCCTTCAGGTATACTGGACCGAGGCCATTTAGGGCTTTCAAGCTCAGCACCAACACTTTGAATTGTGCTTGGAAACGTACTGGGAGCCAATGTAGGTCTTTCAAGACCGCTGTGTTGTGGTCTCAGCAGCCGCTCCCAGACACCAGTCTAGCTGCCACAATCTGGATTGCAGCCCTTTGTACAAACTTCCCTTTCCGCTTCCTCTGCCACAGCGACCTCAACGGACCGGCCCTCGTGCTGCCCATCATCCTGCCATGTTTCTACCCAGAACTCTCAATGCTCTACATGCTTTACCACCAGAAAGAGGATGACCTGTATTGCCAAGGGATTGTGGATCTGAGCCTCTTTCCTGATGTTAAGCTGCTTGAATTCCTGGAGGTCCAAAAGTGAGTGGTTGCGGATGCTGTAGAAATTCTCTCCCTCCCTTTCTATGTGCAAAGCAGATGTTCTACCATTGAGCTAAAGCCCTTTACCGTCATATCTCTGGTCAGTCAGTCTAGCACAGTATTGTCCACCCATTGAAATTATTATTACAGTGGTACCTCGGGTTAAGTACTTAATTCGTTCCGGAGGTCCAATCTTAACCTGAAACTGTTCTTAACCTGAAGCACCACTTTAACTAATGGGGCCTCCAGCCGCGCTGCCGGAGCACGATTTCTGCTCTCATCCTGAAGCAAAGTTCTTAACCTGAAGCACTATTTCTGGGTTAGCGGAGTCTGTAACCTGAAGAGTATGTAACCTGAAGTGTATGTAACCTGAGGTGGCCAGCTGTTTTTCTTCCTTTCTGATAACACTACAGTGGTACCTTGGTTCTCAAACTTAATCCGTTCCGGAAGTCCGTTCCAAAACCAAAGCGTTCCAAAACCAAGGCACGCTTTCCCATAGAAAAGAATGCAAAAGGGATTAATCCGTTCCAGACTTTTAAAAGCAAACCCTAAAACAGCAATTTAACATGAATTCTACTATCTAACGAGACCATGGATCCATAAAATGAAAGCAGTACACAATGTGCTGCAGTCACACAATCAATCCATCAGTAGCTGACCTGGGTTCCACATAGTCACAATTTTTTTTTAAAAAAAGAGCCGCACAAACGAAAACGCAAAATATTGTAAATAGCAAAAACAGACAGACCTCAGCGTCACACTCACATCGGAAGCATAACACTCAAAACGGAGCGCGTTTGGCTTCTGAAAAGGTTTGCAAACCGGAACACATACTTCTGGGTTTGCAGCGTTTGGGTTCCAAGTTGTTTGAGTACCAAGGCGTTTGAGAACCAAGGTACTACTGTATTATTATTCAGTTGGAGCGCTCGCAGGCCAGTGTTTCCCAATTGTTGGTGTTTAAATTTGCCTTGAGACAGTCTTTAAACCTCTTTTGTTGACCACCAGCATTACGCTTTCCATTTTTAAGTTGGGAATAGAGTAGTTGCTTTGGAAGACGATTGTCAGTCATCTGCACAACATGACCAGTCCAACAAAGTTGATGTTGAAGAATGCACATCTGTGACTGGAAGCAGCATTGCTTTTGAGTCCCAGTTGTTGGAAACTGCAAGAGAGGAGTTCTTATGCTCAGGGTTACCCATAAGGCATCTAGCTGGCCACTGTGAAAACAGGATTCTGGACTAGATTGGCCATTGGCTCATACCAAAAGGCTTGTGTTTTGTTCTCATCCTGTTTCCCACAATGCCTTTGGGAAGCCCACAAGCAAGCCTTGCTGCTCCAGACGCAAATCCCTCTTCCACCCTTTGACCCTGGCAGCCTCTTCTCGTTTCAGATATTTGTGGCCCCTCAAAGATCTGACGCTCACAAGTAACCAGGTAAGTCCACCCTCAGTTCTCTTCTGGTTCGTGTCCGCAGTAAGGTGGGATTGGACCATTGCAGGTGACAGCGAGAGGATGACTTGAAAAAATATAGAACAGATCCCTCGTGTAAAACTCATTTGAGTAGCACAGGCCTGGCTCAATGGAGAAGGAGCTGCCTTGCAGGGAGAAGGAACCAGGGTCAATTCTGTGGTCACACATATACAGTGGTACCTTGGTTCTCAAACTTAATCCATTCCAGAAGTCCATTCCGAAACCAAAGCATCCCAGAACCAAGGCGAGCTTTCCCATAGAAAGTAGTGCAAAATTGATTAATCCGTTCCAGACTTTTAAAAACAACCCCTAAAACAGCAAACCCAACCAGATGGACGGGGTACAAATAATAAATAAATTATTATTGTTATTATCATCATCATCATCATCATCAGTGCTTTTTTTCTGGGGGGACGCGGGGGGGGGGCGCATACCCCTAAACATTTTGTGAATCTACGTTTGGCTTCATTGAGGGGCAGTTTTTCAATATGAGTAGGAAAATGAGAGTACCCCTAAACATTTTTTTAGAAAAAAGCTCTGGTTGCTGTTGTTGTTGTTGACAAATTCAGTGATATTTGGAATTCAATTCTGTGGTTTCTAGAGCTGCAGCCAGTTAATATAGATAACTTAGTGGGTCTGGTGGTACAAAGGAGCTTTCCAATTTCCTAGTAATGCACATCTTTTGCACGTAGTACAGGCACAGACAAACTCGGCCCTCCAGATGTTTTGAGACTACAACTCCCATCATTCCTGACCACTGGTACTATTCTGGACAACAGCCATATGAGAAATATGTAAAATAACTAAGCAAGTATTAGACACCACCCCAGAATTGGCCCTACTAAACATCTTCCAAGACAACAATGCCCATTTACACCACAAAGAACTCATAACCCAACTACTTTCAGCAGCCAGAAACACCATAACCAGACACTGGAGAGACCTGTCAGGAGTAAGCATGGACCAATGGTACCAAATAGTATGGGAAACAGCCCTACTAGAAAAATTAACCAATAAACTGAAACTGACATGGGGACAAACAGAAGAAGACACCTTTACCCAGGTATGGCTCCCCTTTATCACATACACAGCCCAACAAGACAATGACAATAATCCACTAACAAATCAATATGGCTAACCTGATCCAAAACACCCACCCACCCCACTCGCACACGAAAACAAAGATCACCACAGCCAATCACAAACAAACAACCACACCCTAGGCCAACCCCCAACCCCAGCCTCTCTCACCACCAAAGGAACACAAGTGAACAGCACAAGCAACGCTGACACCAAACCCCACATACATTAAGCATAACAGAAACATCGCCACCCCACCCATCTTCCCTTCCTCCCCCCCTTCTCTTTTTTTCTCCCCCTAATGTCTCAACAAATGAAACGGATTTGTAAAAATGTTACATGGAAAAAATATGAGAGACATTACTTCTGTAAAACAAGAAAATCTTTAATAAAAAATAATAATAATTAAAAAAATCCCTGACCACTGGTCCTGTTAGCTAGGGATCATGGGAGTTGTAGTCCCAAAACATCTGGAGGGCCGAGTTTGCCTATGCCTGATGTAGAAGGTCCCAAGCTCAGTCCTCAATGGCATCTCTGGGCAGGGCAGGGAGACATTCTGTCTGAAGCAATACTGAGCTAGATGGACCAATGGTCTGTGCTCGGCATAAGGAAGCTTCCTCACTTCCAAGCGTGGGAAGGGACCACAGCTCTGGAGCAGAACATCTGCTTTTCAAGCACAAGGTCCTAGGTGCAAGTGGATAATAAATAAATAGGAACAACAATAATTCTATATATATATGTGTGTGTGTATTTTAGAGACGATCACTGGTCAAAGACCGCTGCTTTCTTTCTGCTACTGAATGTCTACAGAAGCTGATGTAAGTTGCCACCCATTTATTTTTTAAGTGGAGAAACAGTTAACAGCAGAAATTTGTTTTCTTTTTTTCCCTTGACATTTTCTTTCTTCCATTCTCTGACAAAGTAATAATCATAAATGAATAGGAATAAAAATGTGTGCCCCATCACCGCGACCATTTTATTGTAACTATCCAACCTCCCAAAATTTCAGAACCTCTTGCGATGGTTTGACCCCTTTCCGTTTTAACAGCACACATTCTGCAAACACCCTCCGTATCGCTTCAAAATCATTTCTCCTGCATATTCCCCGTCTTACTGTAATGGCACATGTTAATTTAACATTAAGAGTGATATCTCACACGTCTTTATGCCATTCTTCCATTTTATATTCTGCTTGCCCCTTCCACTTCCTAGCTATCATAATTTGTGCAGCTGTCAATATATTTGTGAGCAAGTCCTTCATAGCCTGCGAAGCTTCCACCCCATCATCATAAATTGATAATAATGGTGGTGGTTGTTTAGTTGTTTAGTCGTGTCCGACTCTTCATGACCCCATGGACCAGAGCAGGCCAGGCACTCCTGTCTTCCACTGCCTCCCGCAGTTTGGTCAAACTCATGCTGGTAGCTTCGAGAACACTGTCCAACCATCTCGTCCTCTGTCATCCCCTTCTCCTTGTGCCCTCCATCTTTCCCAACATCAGGGTCTTTTCCAGGGAGTCTTCTCTTCTCATGAGGTGGCCAAAGTCTTGAAGCCTCAGCTTCAGGATCTGTCCTTCCAGTGAGCACTCAGGGCTGATTTCCTTCAGAATGGAGAGGTTTGATCTTCTTGCAGTCCATGGCACTCTCAAGAGTCTCCTCCAGCACCATCATTCAAAAGCATCCATTCTTCAGCAATCAGCCTTCTTTATGGTCCAGCTCTCACTTCCATACATCACTACTGGGAAAACCAGAGCTTTAACTATATGGACCTTTGTTGGCAAGGTGATTTCTCTGCTTTTTAAGATGCTGTCTAGGTTTGTTATTGCTTTTCTCCCAAGAAGCAGGTGTCTTTTAATTTCATGACTGCAATAATAATAATGGTACCTCTGGACTTTTGGTCAGCTTTAACCAATTTTATTTTTATTTTTCCTCCTTCCATGGTGTTGGAGGCAGCTTGCATGGTTCTGCACCTCCTTATTCTCACAACAACCCTGTGAGGTGGGTTCGATTGAGAAATAGTAACTTCCTATGAGCCTAGTTGGGCCATGAACTTTGGTCTGACTCTCTTAACTCAGCCGCCCCCAACCCTATTGCCCTCCAGCCTAGCCAGCATTACTGTGGGTTGACAGAGGTTCCCCATTCCTCCATAGGGACTAGCAACTTGCTCATTCACCAAAAGGAAAGCAGAGATTCTCAAGGCACTGGATCATAGGCCCTATCCAAATCGAGGAGGACTAAGCCCACACTCGCCTCCCCAAGGATTTTCATATGCTTTCTGGTTTGAGTGTTTTAGGGCTTACGTTGATGCTCACCAGGTCTTCCCCTTTTTGCAGCACTACTGTTGACCCGCGGGAAAAACTGGACATCCTCCAAAAGACATACGAGGAAATTGAGAAGACAGTGAACCGGGTGCTGGAGAAGGAATATAGCCTGCCAATGGATGACCTCTTGCCGCTGCTGATGTATGTTGTGACGCGGGCAAGGTAAGGGAAGCCGGTCTCCTTCTTGCTCATCCTTTCCAATGTGGTCGGATCAGGTCCTCAGGAGGGTCCATTTCCGTGTCTTCAGGCTGGAGTGTAAATAGCTCCGGAACTGTTCCATTTTCAAATTAGTTGCTGGTTTGTTTTGGAGCTTAGCATCATAAATTTCTTCTGGTTTTTCCCAGCTGGGGATGGGGGTGTTATAAGAAAACTGTTCCTTTTCCCTTATGGGGTACCCAAGAGCCTGTATAGTCCTTATGTACAGTGGTGCCTCGCAAGACGAAAAGAATCCGTTCTGTGATTCTCTTCCTCTAGCGGTTTTTTTGTCTTGCGAAGCAAGCCCATTGAAGGATTAGCGGATTAGCGCTATTAGCGGCTTTTAGCGGCTTATCTGCTGATTGGATCAGCTGATAAGCGGCTTAGCGGCTTAGAAAAAGGGGGGGAGGAAAAAAAACCAGCAGGAACTCGCAAGACATTGTCGTCTTGCGAAGCAAGCCCATAGGAGATTCGTTTTGCGAAGCACCTCCAAAACGGAAAACTCTTTCGTCTAGCGAGTTTTCCGTCTTGCGAGGCATTCGTCTTGCGGGGCACCACTGTAGGTTCTCTATCGGTAGGAGAAAATTAACAGAGGCCAGCCAGAGAACACTGAGAAGCAAGGCAGCTAGTAAGCCTGATATTTATTAATCTGTTGCAACAGGGTGCTCACGCCCCCCGCCCCCAACGCAGGGGGGAGGAACCCAGAACATTGGTGTGCAAGCTCTTATATAGACTTTTGAAATTGCCTCCCCTGTAGCTCAAGAGGATGGATGGCAGCTAACAGATTGAGGTTGAATCCTGACAAGACAGAAGTACTGTTTTGGGGGGACAGGAGGGGGGGAAGGTGTGGGGGACTCCCTGGTCCTGAATGGGGTAACTGTGCCCCTGAAGGACCAGGTGCGCAGCCTGGGAGTCATTTTGGATTCACAGCTGTCCATGGAGGCGCAGGTCAGTTCTGTGTCCAGGGCAACTGTTTACCAGCTCCATGTGGTACGCAGGATGAGACCCCACCTGCCTGTGGACTGTCTCGCCAGAGTGGTGCATGCTCTAGTTATTTCCCGCTTGGACTACTGCAATGCGCTCCATGTGGGGCTACCTTTGAAGGTGACCTGGAAACTACAACTAATCCAGAATGCTGCAGCCAAACTGGGGACTGGGAGCAGCTGCCAAGACCACATAACACCAGTCTTGAAAGACCTGCAATTGGCTCCCAGTACGTTTCCGAGCACAATTCAAAGTGTTGGTGCTGACCTTTAAAGCCCTAAACGGCCTCGGCCAGTATACCTGAAGGAGCGTCTCCACCCCCATTGTTCAGTGCTGAGGGCCTTCTAGCGGTTCCTTCCTTGCGAGAAGTGAGGTTACAGGGAACCAGGCACAGGGCTTTCTCGGTGGTGGCACCCACACTGTGGAACGCCCTCCCACCAGATGTCAATGAGAACAACAACTACCAGACTTTTAGAAGGCATCTGAAGGCAGCCCTGTTTAGGGAAGCTTTTAATGTTTGATGCATTACTGTATTTTAATATTTTGTTGGAAGCTGCCCAGAGTGGCTGGGGAAACCCAGCCAGATGGGCGGGGTATAAATAATAAATTATTGTTGTTATTATAATTATTCAACCAAAATGGTCAAAGGCCTGGAGACGATGCCTTATGAGGAATGGCTAAGGGAGCTGGGCATGTTTAGCCTGGAGAAGAGGAGGTTAAGGGGTGATATGATAGCCATGTTCAAATATATAAAAGGATGTTATATAGAGGAGGGAGAAAGGTTGTTTTCTGCTGCTCCAGAGAAGCGGACACGGAGCAATGGATCCAAACTACAAGAAAGAAGATTCCACCTAAACATTAGGAAGAACTTCCTGACAGTAAGAGCTGTTGGACAGTGGAATTTGCTGCCAAGGAGTGTGGTGGAGTCTCCTCCTTTGGAGGTCTTTAAGCAGAGGCTTGACAACCATATGTCAGGAGTGCTCTGATGGTGTTTCCTGCTTGGCAGGGGGTTGGACTCGATGGCCCTTGTGGTCTCTTCCAACTCTATGATTCCATGGTTCTATTCTGCACCCGCTGGAGTTCCTGAATCAGCTTCAAGGGCAGCCCTGCGTAGAGCGAGCTACAATAATCAATAATCATGGTTAAAAACACCCCTCCTCTCAAGAACTCTGGGAACTGTAACTTATCATTCAGAGCTACTAATCCGACACTACAGTGGTGCCTCGCAAGACGAAAAGAATCCGTTCTGTGATTCTCTTCGTCTAGCGGTTTTTTCGTCTTGCGAAGCAAGCCCATTGAAGGATTAGCGGATTAGCGCTATTAGCGGCTTTAGGCTTCTGATCGATAGCTGAAGGCTTAGCGGCTTAGAAAAAGGGGGGGAGGGAAAAAAACCAGCAGGAACTCGCAAGACATTGTCGTCTTGTGAAGCCCATAGGAAATTCGTTTTGCGAAGCACCTCCAAAACGGAAAACTCTTTCGTCTAGCGAGTTTTCCGTCTTGCGAGGCATTCGTCTTGCGGGGCACCACTGTATTAACAAAGTACAGTTTCCATTATTATAATTATTTGGGGGGCAGGGTCCTTTAAAAGTATGGTTTGTACCCGCAAAGCATTTTCCTGATTTGTTTCTTGGCAAGTGGGGCTTGCATGTGGTACCTTTTAAATTTGGCAGCAAATGCAAGCCCTTCTGGGATTGGTTACAAGAGCTGCCAAGTGGAGCTGGTTCTCGCTTAAAGCGGGGCATGCCATCTCAGCACTACCAGTGCTGACGGCAAGTCCTGCTGAGATCTGCTTGCGAGTTCCCAGCTTGCAAGTGCGCAGTCGATCCCTGCTGAAAGTGGGCTTTCAGTTGATCAGATTTCAAGATGTGCTTAAAGCGCAGAGAACTGAGTTCAAGTCAGGCTACAAAGCGTGCTAACACAGTTTGAAGCTGCACATTCATAGGAAGAACAAGAGGAAGGAAAAACAACAACTTCAGAGCTAACTTAGACTGCGCTCAAGTTTCTTTTGAACTTGGGTCACCTGATGTCATGGTGACACCAAGTGATTGACAGGAAGGTGGCCCCATCCACCTATCCAAGTGGCGCACAAGTACTGCTGTTGCTCAGGATTTGGCCTGCTGACTAGAGTCTGTATACACACACAAAGACCCTTACCAAGAATCCCTTCAGTGCAGCTGTTTTCTCTGACGTAAGTGTTATACTCCTGAATTTATGGTGACTATACGCAACCAAAAGAGGCTGTTAAGGCAAGCTATATATACCTGCTAGAATTATGGCTTCTGTGCAACTATTAAAGACGCAGGCAGGATTCCTTGTGCTTTTGGTCACCCTAACCAAATACAGTCATACCTCGGGTTACAGCCACTTCAGGTTGCGTTTTTTTTGGGTTGCAGACCGCCAAAACTCTGGAAAGGGTTACTTCCGGGTTTTGGCAGTCGCACATGGGCAGAAGCGCTAAATTGCACTTTGCGTATGCGCAGAAGCGCCGAATCGCAACCCATGCATGCGCAGACGCGGGTCACGAACGCTGCGGGTTGCGAACGTGCATCCCGCACGGATCACATTTGCAACCCAAGCATCCACTGTAGCAACTTGTCAAGAAGTTTAATCCTGGCCTAAATCAAGATAATGGGTTTGAACTCCACTACAGGTATGGCACTGTGGGTTAAACCACAGAGCCTAGGACTTGCGGATCAGAAGGTCGGTGGTTCAAATCCCCGCTATGGGGTGAGCTCCCATTGCTTAGTCCCTGCTCCTGCCAACCTAGCATTTCGAAAGCACGTCAAAGTGCAAGTAGATAAATAGGTTCCGCTCCGGCGGGAAGGTAAACGGCGTTTCCGTGCGCTGCTCTGGTTCACCAGAAGCGGCTTAGTCATGCTGGCCACATGACCCGGAAGCTGTACGCCGGCTCCCTCAGCCAATAAACCAAGATGAGTGCCACAACCCCAGAGTCAGCCACGACTGGACCTAATGGTCAGGGGTCCCTTTACCCTTTTTTGCAGGTATTAATTAGGTTACCAATGCTGGGATGTTTTATCCTTGGCACATTAAACTAATTAACAGTCTGCTTTTTGTTGTTGTTTTTAGGGGGCGAGGTTGGCTTTGACCTCACTAACTAATAATACTTTCTGCCCGCATCTATACCACTGTTCTGTATGTACAAATGAGGATGGTGCCTTTATAATCTGACAAAATGGACTCTGGCCCATGAAAGCTTTAAGAAGTCTTTAAGATGCCGCAAGACTTCACTGTTCTAACAGAATAATCTTGCCTTCCCCTCCACAAACCAGTATACAACATTTAGGAGCAGAAATCCACCTGATCAGAGATCTGATGGACCCGACAAATGAAGGAGGCATGTACGACTTCCTGCTGACAGCACTCGAGGTAAGGACAAAAATTAGACTGTGACGGTGGATAAAACAGTCGAATTAGATTGATGGAAAATTGATAACATTATTTCCCAAAATGGCCACCCAGGGGCTTTCACTAGCGAAACATAAATGCAATGGCCCTCTCTTATAATTGCTAGAATGATAGAATAGTTGGAAGGGAGCACAAACGTCATCTAGTCCAATTTCTGCTGATTCTGGGTCTCGAACCCAAGTCCCTTGTTCTGCCAACTGAGCTACCCCAGAAAGCAGGCAGGTGTTCAGAGAAGTATACCATAGAACCAAGAGAGGTTTCATAGCACCAAGAGTCTCTTCCATGGGTTCCACAAAAGATTTCTCGTGTATCTAGGATGATCTTAATCTTACAAATGAGTGCCAGTCTCCATCACAAGGTTCTCTTCTTTCTTCCCATCTCCAGTCGTGTTATAATTTCATCCAGAAGGAAATAAGACTCCGCCCAAGCTGGCAGGTCCTACACAATTCCTGAGAGTTGCACAGCAGCATTCATTGTCCTAACAAAGGATGCTGAAAAGAGAAGGAACTTGAAATTGTCGCTGCTGGGTTTTCCATTTTTTGGCATGTCTTTCCTATGGGAAGGATGTTTGGTTTTTAAGACACAATTTCTTTGAAATTGACATTTGAAAAAGAATGGTTCTTTGACATTGATGAGAAGGCTGCAGGCAGAAGGAAGTCAACTTAATTCCAGGTGCAATACTCCCATTCCTTGTGTCTCATCCCCATGCAAAATGCAACTTTCCATTCCTGGGCCAGAGGACTTATCATTTTGGAGGCAAGAGGTTAATTCTGGTCCTGCTGGGGCCAGAAACAAAGCTATCTTGAAGGTCACCAAAACCAGGAATTTGCCAGAACCAATCTTGTTTGGGCCAGTGCAATTTTTTAACCAAGCGCTTTAACCTTTCATGTCAAATTACCACCGTTTATTATTTCCTTGTTTGTTTATGATTCATGGAGCATCTTGCAAAAGACAGTCTTGTGTACTGCTAAAACATCCCAGTAGAATGCATACTGGATGCTATTTTAGTTAATGCATTGCTTGTGGTACAATCACTTCATTTGGGCTTTGCAAAATTTTGGCAGCCACGCTGAAATTGAAATATTTGAAGGTCAAAGTCTTACTTGTTTCAGCAATGGTCTGCTGGTAATCCAAACGCTCTGGTAAGCAGGCAGTGATCTCTGGATCACCATTAGCACAATAATGGCAATCCAAGCTCACTCAACCAGGAGTTCAGATGAGCAATGAAACCCAGCTGGTCAGTCCAGCTCCAACCATACCATCTGGACTGTGATGATGCCCTTGAATTTGCAAAGACTCTCCTCTCTGCCTTTCTCCCATAAAAAGCAAACAGCATATCCAATACCAGGGCAGAAAATGTTCCACCACACATTCCATTTATTCAAAGCTGCTCTTACCTTTTAACCGATTACCCCTTTTCCATTGTAAAGGGAAGATCATTTCAAGGATTGATTTCCGCACCCAGATATCCACTGGGAAATGCAGCTCAAAGCCTAGCGTTTTGCAAGTTACAACAACCGAGAGCTGTAGTTACACACATACACACTGCCCATATTTCTCATGCAAGGGAGAGTGAACATGGTCCACCCAATTTTTCCAGTGACATCACTGCTTCTTTTATTTGGGTGTTTGTGCTCAGACACACAAATAGAACAGGACTTCTGGAATCTACATCTGGACTGGCAAATCTATGGCCCTCGTTGTTGTTGGAGGGATCTGGAGGGCCGCAGGTTCACAAGCCCTGACCTCCACAGAGGCAGGTTAAACTCTTGACCTAATCCTTCGATGGGACTACAAGGTGTTGGCAGTCATAGTACAGGATTTTGGAGGTTTTTCTAAGCATCGGTTGTCTGGGTCTTTCAAACTGTTCCATTGTGCTTGAGCAGAGTGAAAATCCCATAGTTGCTCTTCCTTTGATTAACGAACCCTGCATCCTTGCCTCAGAGCTTTTTTCTGCAAAAGGGTTGGTGTTGCAAACCTTTTCTAAGGTAACTGACAAGTTTAATATAAAAATGCAGAGCCCCATTTTCTTAGGTCAAATGAGAGTTCTGGCAAAAGCCTGGTTTATTCTTCAGTCTGGGTGTAAACTAGGTCAATATTGGCTCATTTTTGACTACTGAAGGCATAAAAGAGTTGTTGCTTTGAAATTAATTGGAAGTGAAAACACTGTTCTTATCTGAATGGTGTAAGAGCTAAAACGTGTGTACATTTTTAACTAAACAACTTTTTAATGCTTTAATATGCTGCATGAAACTCTACATTACTGCCTCATTGTATTACACTGGATAAAATATTTAATACGCTAACTTCATTATAAATGACTTTGTATGGAAATTTTTTTATTGCGTTGTTTTGGAGACATGTAGCTATTTATATGAAACGAATAAATGAAGTTGCCTTAACTAAGTGAGAACACTGTTCTCTCAATTCTAATATTGTCTTTCTTTGGAGTACAGGTACATCTAATCTACAACTTGAAACAAACCTACCCAACTGATTTTACATTTCTCCAGTTGTTGTGAAGCAATTTTCAGCAGTGTATCAAAATACAGATTTAATGCATAGCTGGAGAGAAAACACATTTAAATGCATTATTTGGGGCCTGAATGTTTTGAAACAAATTTTACTGGATTAAGGTGGGAACAGAATTATGGGTAAAAACATGTGAAAGGGAGATGGAACTGGAAATTTGTCCATCTCCAATTTGGACTAGCTGTGGCTGTGATGTTTTAAAGTGCAGCTTCAAAAATTGAACCTGCCCCCCCCCCCAGGCCCAGAGAATGTGTGATCTATATTGCATATCTGAGTATGTCATATAATTTCACAGGGTAACATCCATGTGTGTAGGAAGGAATTCCCTGAAGGTGCTCTGTAAAGTGTATAGAACTTATTTCCCCCATCTGAGCCTCAGCAGCTGCTACTACCAAATAGAATCAGCAATTTGCCTGCCAAAGCATCAGATCACTTCTCATGGTTTCATATAGGTGCTCCACAATTGTGGCAAATGGAGCCTTTTGTAACATACATATAGCAGCGCCCTTCACTCTCATCATCCCTGATCACTGGGGCAGGCTAGCTGAGCACTGCAGTCAAACACCACTTGCAGAGTCACAACAATCCTGCCATTCTCCAGAAAAACTTTGCATCTGTGGGCAAACTAAAGTGAATTAATGTGTGTTCCCTTTGGAAGCCTAGGACGGCACAGAACAGAACAAAGGATTTAAGAACTCCCCCCCCCACCCTCAAGTGGACAGGGATTCAAGTAAACCTCATTTACAGCTATCCTCCTCTTTGTCCTGAAATATTTTCAGCATCAAACTGGCCATCTGCAAGAAAGACAGAAACCATGGACACTTAAATAGTTTTAATGTGCAGTTTCAGAAAGGTCTCGGGGCAACTTGGCAGAACAGTCGAGGGTTGAGTAAACTTCAGCTCAGTGCTTAAACGTTCCCTACAAAGGGTTCAAGTGAAAGTCTAACAAACAGGCTAGATAGCAAACGGGAACAAACTCAGCCGGTCCCCATTCAGAAGAAAGCCCCTGCAATTTTAGTTCTGCCGCTGCTGCCAGCAGCAAAGGAAGTGCTTCTTGTACAAACCGTTTCCAGCCCTTACTCACATACAGTGCTATGACTAATTGTGCTCAGTAACAAGAAATGTTGGCGCTGGTATGTTAAAAACCACTGGTCCCAAAGGTGACATGCTCCATTCCAAAAGACAGTAGCCACCCAAGGTAAAAATGCAAGCTGGCCCCCTTTTAACCTCTTATCCACCCAAGGGGATCACTGCCAAGATGTGTACCTGCTTAGTTGTGTACCATGTGATAACTTTTCAGAGAGGGACACATTTCCCACAAGGCAACTGGAGAAACAAAGGAGGATCACCGTTAAGACTGTAATCCTGTACAGTCAACTGAATTATGGGTAGGCTGCCATGCAACAAGCCCTGAAGGGTGATTTTTAAAAATATATCTTTTTTTTGGCCTCAACGTCTCTGGGGATGGTCGTGCTACAACTGTTCAGGCAGTGAAAAAGGCACCACCATTTCGGAATCGAAAAAGAAGCAAGACCATTCAACTACAGCTCTGAGACCACCTTATCTGGGAAATAACCAAAAAGGTAGCTTGAGAGAAGAGTGCTTGCTGTACACAATTGCCCCAGCTTATCATACTGGAGGGGAGGGCACAGAGAGTTCAGCTGCCATGCTTGGGCTGTTTAGGCCCACTGAGTTTGATGGCTCAGAGTCCCTGAAAGTGTGGTGCCAATCCTGAGGTGAGTATATTCCTGATTTCTCTCACACACAAATACAGCAGAGAGTGATGGAAGCAGGGGCTATGAACAGGCGAGTATTGCACACCAATTAATGAGGTGGTACACACACCTTTTATTCCCATACTTACCTACTTCAGGGAGTTAAGCCATTTCAACATATGAGCTGAAATTTTTTACTTTTCTTTCCCTCCCACCCCCATATTTATTTTACTCAAAACACATGTCTCTGGGAAGTGCTCAGGGGCAGGGAGGTGAGTTGGTGGGAGGGAAAGGGGACAGTTATTGACCATGTAAATAGGATCAAATTCTTCCACTAACACTGTGGGTAAACAAGAAGACTCACCTGTACAGTCTAGTGTGAAACACTTTTCACATGTATTTTGGTGGGACAAAAGCTCCCAAAACCAACAGTGCAATCCTACACGTTTACTCAAAAGTTAAGTTCCACTGTATTCAGTAAGTCATACTCCCAGGTGAGAATGTAGAGCAGAGGATGAGGAGTCTGTGGCCCTCGAGATGCTGCTGGACTGCCAAGTCTCATCAGCTGCAGCTAGCAAGGTTAACAGGAATGACCAGTTGTAGTACAACATTATCTGGAGAGACGCAGGTGCTCCAATCTCTGCCATATAGGGTTGCAGCCCAAAGGGCTTAGAAATACTGGCAAATAAGTGGTCATATTAGTCACTGAGGAAGTAGAACATCTCACTGAGGGATGCTCTCCTTTTCCAACTACTGCCAGTTTCCTAGATGCTTAAATTCCCTAACATTCTGCCTCTGGTTCTGTATTCTCTACTTGGTCACTAAAATCCACTGTGCTTACGACTTCTAAATGGGGCGATCGACATAACCTATCAGCATGCACCCAGCTTGCAAAGAAGCATTTCTGCAAGTGGTCAAAATCAAATGGGGAACTAGAGGAGGGCTGTATCTATCGCTGCTTTCAGGCGGTGCAGCAGCGCCTGAGGAGGAGGGGAAAGGGTCTCTGGGTTCAGTTTCTTGAATTCCTCATTGGCATTCAAAGAGGTCAAGACCTTTGCAGTCCTTTTCAAGTCAAAGACCGCATGCAGCATTCCCAGGCCGGAGATGGCAGCTCTGTATGAATGCTTGGAGGCATCTTCTTCAGAATGGTGGTTTTCAAGGACATAAATCCGGTTTTCTGCAATGATTTTGAGGAAGTTGTAGAATTCCTTGTAGTCGATTCCTGTGTAAGACTTCATCAGCACCTGCAAAGGTGAGAGAACAAGTCAAAGGTCACAGCTGTGCCAACCGACTGTTACATGGGAACTGGTGTTCAGTTGAAAACGTTGAATGAAAAGGCAATGCTTGAACTTCATGTCAATTTTCGAAAAAGCACAAGGCACAAAGCTGACCCAGGGAGCTAAGCATAGGAATGCTTAATTCTTGAGTTACTAGGGAGTCTGAATTCTTTCCCATTACAAAGCACGAGACTGGCCCTGAGAGTGAGGACACAGGTTGTGCTAGATCATACTTCTCAAAGCTGACAATAGAAGATAACACTCTCTCTTTGGGCCCTTTCCAGACACCGTATAGAAAAGTTGCTCCTATTTGATGTGAACTAGCTTCACAAGAGCCTCCCATGTACAGTGGTACCTCTGGTTACATACTTAATTCGTTCCAAAGGTCCGTTCTTAACCTGAAACTGTTCTTAACCTGAAGCACCATGTTAGCTAATGGGGCCTCCCGCTGCTGCCGTGCCGCGATTTCTGTTCTCATCCTGAAGCAAAGTTCTTAGCCCGAGGTACTATTTCTAGATTAGTGGAGTCTGTAACCTGAAGTGTATGTAACCTTAAGTGTATGTAACCCGAGGTACCACTGTACCTACACATTCCCTTTCCATTTCTCTTGCTCAGTCCTCAGTAGTGATTGCTATAGCTAGCCAGCTGATGTGCAGGGGAATTTCTTTCCGAACAATTAAGACCAGTGAGCTGGATCCAAATCTTGAAAACAATATTGAGCTGTTACTACAGTTCATCCACGAATAGCCATGTAATTCCTGTGTTTCACCATTTCAGACACTCAATTGCTAATGGTCATCTATGACCATGTCAAACATTCTCACACGGCTGCTCTACCTGGCATTGCAGGTGCCAGTCCTCCATGCTGTCTCTCCATTCTCTGATCTCTCGCTGGACAGCAGCTAGTTCATCTTGGAGGAAGCTCCACATGATGGCTACATTGCATCCATTCACCCAGTTGTGGTTGATGGAGATGGTATCCTCCTGGAAAAAACAAGGACAGTCCAAATGGCTATTCCACATGTTTAAGCAAGGGGTTGAAGGGAGTTACAGTTTTTTGCTTGCTGGCCTATTCAGCTGGATTCCCATAGTGAACGTAAGACATCATGCAGCATACAAACTCAGCTTATCCAGTCGCCAGTAGAAGCCTGCTTCAAAGCCTATGCTACCTTGCCCATCAGGTAGCACTGCTTGTCAGCTCCCTCCTCTATCTGTGTTGCCGTTCTAGAGCTCAGCAGAACAGAGGATGCAGACACACTAGAATTGGGTTTGCCTGTCACTGGCTGTGGCTCCATCTACTGTTCGGCTTCTGGCCTTAAGCCCTATCAGTCCCCAATGAGCAAAAGCATCGCCCAAATCCACTTAATGACACATTACGCCAAGGCTGTGGCTGTCTGAAACATCTTACCAAATTGTAAACCTGATGGTGCCATCCGCTCGGGATGAAGACGATCTCTCCAGCTTCCTGTATGATTTCAACAGGAGGGCTGCTTTGGGCATAGCGAGGGTAAAGGTTGCTTTTCTTCAGGTCAGGTGCAGTGATGTCAAATGGCAAGTGACCATGGCGATCGCGGAGGAACTCCTCCTGCCCTGGGGGGAAAACAAGCCATTTCTTTTTCCCGCAAATGTTGGCCGACCAGCTGTAGGAGCGGAAGACATCTGCGTGAAATGGAGTCCTACAGGGAGGAGGGGAAAACCAGGAGGTTAGAAGGCGGCAGCTGAATAGCTGCAGGAATAGTATATATGTAGTAGAAGCCAATTTGTAAGGGAGTGGGGCCCCCTCTCCTACCATCTCAGGAGCCCCAAAACATTAGTATCACAGTCATTCAGAAAATTACTTTTGCACCCTGAAGACATGAGGCAAACACACCCAAACCTAGATCTATTTTTCAGCACAGAAATTAATCAGGCTTTCACAGAAAGCTATTTGTGCATCAATGTCTATTTCTCCACTCTCCAAGTACTCTGATACACCCAGTGATTTACAAGGGTCTCTCATCTGAAAGTATGCAAGTTCATACCCTGCACCTGAGACAGTAATGTGTGCATACCTAACAACTTTCTGCTAACCTCTTACTGCAAACTGAAACTGGCTTGTGTTGTGAGAAGTCTAGAACTTCACCAATATCTTGACAGCTAAAAAGATGCAAAGTCTCAAAACAAAGAAGCTTCTTCATATGCAGGGACTATACAATGCATAATACCCAAAGGGCTGAACACTGTCCGGCCCTGCAATCTGGGAGGGGTAGGGATCCCATTGCTTGATGTGAAAAAGGTGCACAATGTTTAAAGCTCTGAGCAGGTGTGCTGTCTTCCTCTTCCTCGAAAAGACATCTCACAGGCTGCTCTCGTGAATAGTTACTAGGAAGTCCCACTGAATCAAGCTGCATGTCCTACCTCATACTTCTAATACGACTAACTTTTCCAAAGAGAACCTATGAAAGTATCCAAACGGCTGTACCATGAGCCTTTAGGTCCCATGTAGACAAAGCGATAGTCGTCCACTGATATGGCATCCCAGTATTCATTCAGCCAGTCAGATGAGAAATAGATGGGAGTGGTGTAAACATCTTGCTCCGGGAAAACCCTTAAAATATTGAAAATGGTATCTCAGAAAGAAAAATCCACTCAAGACACATTCAAAAGTTGCATAACAGCATGGTAAAGGTTAGATCATGGCCAGGCAATTGGTACTTTATTTCACCTCTGCACCAGCCACCTTTCCCAAGTCTTGGGGATATAACAAATATTACACACTTAGAAGTCTACTCAATGCTTTGAGAGTGCAATGACTACTCCCTCCAATAATTTTTACTGGTTTTCATGTAAATACAAAAACATATTTGATCTCAAAAGGAAGAAGCTGCCCAAAGTAACATCTGAATCAGTCCATGAACTCTAAGCCTAAGCCTGAAACAATGGATATGGAAGGGGTATCACTGTAATCCAACTGTCTTTCCAACCCTTCCCTTTCCACCAGTGGTAAAGGGCTTTGGGTTGGGACACATAAGACTTATGCAGGGAGGTAGTGTTTAGGCTCTGCATATGCAAAGATTCAAGCCAGGAAGTACAGTACCTCTGAACATGCAAATATTCTCAATTTCTGAACTTGCAAGTTATCTTTTGAATGCCCTATAACCATAAAAAAATAGCCAATATACACCAAGTAAACGATCACGGTAGATTCATCAGAAGGAAAGCAAAGTGCCAAGAATACAAAAAGGCATTTAAGAAGTTGCCTTGGCATCCCATTTGTGTGGCACACTATGACCCTGCCTGTATTAGGTGTTTCCTCACATCAGTGTTGCTTTCAAGCACCTATTCTTTTAAATTGAGACTTGGTGTAGGCGGTATATAACTAATTAAGCTGAACATTGCTTAAAGACTGATCAATTTTCCTGCTTCAACTTGCTGTGCAACCAAAACGTGGGAAGAGTATAAATTCAATTGACTGTATTAGTGCAACGGCTGAGCGTGGGTGAGGCCTACAGTGCATTTGTGTTCTCCTCAGCAGGTTCCCCTGCCTTCTCTTCTGTTTGGTTCCAGTGCAACTATGCAAACATACAATGATAATTAATATAAGGAACAGGGTCAGAGAAGGAAACTTCTCTCATGCAGACCAACTTTGGCATAATCAAAACGTGTGCAAACACAGGAAAAAGAAAGAAAACATGTGCATTCACATTGGAAAGAGCAGACAGTGCCAGGTACATGCACCGTAAGAAAGGTAAGCCAAACAGCGCTATACATCACTGGGGTGTCCTACCATGCAGTCACAGCCGTAGATTCTTAGGATGCAGTTTTGAAACAGGCGGCTACTATCTAAGGATGCTCCCAAAAGCTGAATCATCTGGTAAGGGAACATCAGAGGTACAATTCAGCAGCATGCCAGGGATTCGTAAGAGCATGCCGAGGAGTTCAAAGGTTTTGCTTACCTGTGCAGGTGCCAGTCCTTGAGGTAAAGGCACCCCCGGGGCGACCGGTAGCTTTTTTTAATGTGTTCTCTCCAATAACTTATGTATTCCTTGAGTTTAAGATGTTCCTTTGGGTTAGAATTGTATTCCTTGACATCACAGTTGGCAACGGGTACTACAGCTTCCCCTGCAATATAAACCCTTTGAGCCCATATGGGAAAATAACTGATGCCCTGTTGGGGTTACCAATAAAAAAGAAAGTGTAAGGGCCTTGATCCTGCCAGTTTGAACATTCCACCTATGTGGCACGGTTAGGTGCTATGCAGAGCGACAACGGAAACAAAAGGAACTTCCTCCAATTGCTGCAATACCTGAATCATAGATACATTAATCAGCAGAATGCCCACAACGAATGTTGTCCCATCTTACAGGATTACGTTAAGGATTCCAACAGAATTATGTCTTTACAGTGCTTTGAGCACACAAAAGTGCTATTTAATGCTAAGGGTTGCATTCAATGGGACTCAGGAATTTCCCTGCAGAGTTGAGAGAACAGAATGGGACAAGGCATAGCAGGCTGCAATTGGGTGCCTCACCCAAAAACACTGCTTTCGCTAGTGGAAAGTCACATTTGTATACAACCCTATTTTTGATACAGCTCTACCTGTGAGAGATGCAGCTGCAATTAAATGTGTCAATTAAGCCACCTCTTACAACATACTTTTCTTTCTACTCCATACTCAGGCATGAATAGAAACATACCACATTAACAGTGAAGAAAGCATAAGGGCAGAATCAAACATTACTAGAAGCAAATGAAAAGGGACTTGGATGTGGTCACCAGCAATCACAGGTTTTTGGCCAGTCAGAAGGCAGACTGAAAATTCTAAGAGGAGCAAAATCACAGCTAGCAATTTTAGTTTAAAGGTGGCTTACCAAAAGTCCGCAGAAGATACTCAAAGTTAGGCTTCCCATCAGGAGTCACCCACTTCCTCCTGCTGCCCCAGCCCTCAGTGAACTTGGCAGAGAACACACAGGGGTCATTGGGGATCAAGTAATCCTTGAAAAAGTCTGCATAAGTGAATATTTCTGGCTTCTCGATGTAGTCAACATGTTCGTGGGATTGGCAGCTTGCACCCCGAGTTGGGCCGCTATAATCGCGAAAAAACTTGGTAGAGTAAGCAAAAGTGTCCCTGTCCATTCAGGCGATAGAAAGCGTCTGACACCTAACTTGTCAGGTGACAGACAGAATTAAATTATAAAATAAATAGCTGGGCTAGAAGACCAGTAAATTAAAAAAAAAGGAAGTGTCACTGAAGACTCAGGAAAGATGGAGGGTATAGAATAAGCAAGTCCAGTTCCAAATCTTGCTGGAAAATCTTCCCATTTGGCTTGTATCATATATGGCTCCTTATGTTCTTGGTTCTTTAGGAGAAGGATGCCTGAAAGGCTGTACTGAGCAGCAGTAACTAACAGAGCAGTTTCACTTCAACCTTGGAACATCTGCACAGGCACAACTTCCACACTCCTCTTTGGCATTTTATGGAGAGCAGCAATCAAGGGCAACTTCCTCCTGAATACTATAAGCAAACAATAATATATTCTTTTTTTAAAAAAAAAAGCCTCGCAAATTCCTGATTCTTTGAAGTGGCTCCCTCCTTCACATAACACCCCACGAAAGTCATTAATATTTTATTCTTATTAATATAAATGAGATTAGGTCAAATAGCGCAAAGTCAGAGATCCATAGAACTCATTGCAGCAGAAAAGTCAAAATAATTTATGGTTCTGCACTAATTAAAACACAAGTAGAGAACACAGTGCTGCTCATGAGAGAAACATATAGGGATATATGGCACCTACTTGATTCCCCCCATGGGGCAAGTAGCAGGGTTTTATTTTTATTGGGTGGGTTCGGGGGGGGGGAGAGAACAGAACTTCCCTCTCTGAGTACTATGGTCCTGATCTGCTCCCAACTCCATCTGCTTTTACCCATCACAGGAACCACAACAGATCATGGTTGCAAATCTATGTCTGGTTTGTCCCTGAGTCTAAGCCAAGAAACTCACTCGTCCCTTGGCAATTGCCTATATCTCACACTTTGCTAACTGTGGCCTCAAACTATCAATCACAGGAGACGACGCTTTATAAACTCCCATGCAGCGTACACTTGTTTTGAAATGAAGAGCAAATAAGGGAGGGATAAATGAGATTGCAAATTGGCTGCTCTATCCCCACTGCCCAAATCCTCTGGCTCTTCTAACAACCTTACATTTTCATTTTCTTCCAATTCCAGCAACTGCAGCGCAGCAGTTGAGCTGATGAGTTAGGAGCTGGAAGTCTTGGATTTAAATCTCAGCAAAGCCACAACACCATGTGGCCTTCAGCAATCTCTCTGGCAGGCCGACAGTAATAGTGGCCTACAGTTACTGCTCAAATAATCAGTGAAATGCACCAGAAACCTGACCCTATGCACAATTCTCAGAGGTTTGCTTCTTACGAAACATACACAGAACTGGGCCATGAGACAAAAAGCACTATCCTATATTATGTATAACACTGTACCAAAATGCACAATTACTTGGGATTAACCCCCACTGAGCTCAGCATGACTTACCTCTAAGTAAACCTGATTTGCCTGAAAAGCACTGCAACTATTTTACAACACACACACACACACACACACACACACACACACACCTTGCCAGTCTACCCTTGCACTTTCCTTGTTTATAACCTTTCTCCAAAGGCAAAACCTCATGACGTTTAGACACAATTATCTCAACAGGTCTGCACAATAGGATGGTGATGGAGAACCTTTTTTTCAGCCAGAGGGCCACAGTTTGCCCTGGGCAACTTTCCGGGGGCCACACGCCAGCCGTGGGTGGGGCCAGATGGACAAGTGGGTGGAGCACTGAATGTAAACATTACCTTTGCACAGCAGGCTAGTTTCTACACACAATTCTCTATCCTCCATCTGGAAGCATCATTAGGGTTCGAGTGTATTTTGCAGCCAGGTAAAAACACGCAAAAGGACATGTTGTGGCCTAAGGAGAGTCCCAAGGGCCTGAAGGCATGGATTTGGCCCCTGGCTCCACTCTTGACAAACAGGTTTCTTAGCACAACAATGATTCAGAAATGCAAGGGAGGCAAATGACCTAAGACACCAGGGGCCTGTTTCACCTAACCAACCAGACAACTTGCCTCCCCTGCCAGGGCTATGTAACACCATCTGCCTTATAATGTTTCCTATATGCTGATGCAGGCTTATTATGCCTTTTTTGTGCTTATTTAGAGGGCAGAGATATTATTTCGCAAACCACCTTGAAATGATCAGTATTGAGAAAGGCAGGATATAAATAACTGCCGCAGATCAACGTAAGTGGCCACCCCTTTTTTTTTTTTTTTGGTAAAGTTTAGCACCCACAAAAACCAACCCAGAATCTCACCCATTGGCGGCCCCACCCCCCTCCCGCCCTGAAATCCCAATCCCTGCCTTCAAAGATCCCCTCAAAGATCCCCAGATCCCCTCAAAGGGTCCCCTCAGGACCTCCGCCTCCCTCCCCCAATTACCAGCCATGCCACCCCCACAATTTCTCAAGGCCTGTCATAGGTAGGAAACAGCCTTCCCCCCTCGTTGTTTCCCCCCTTCATTCACCCACCTCAAAATAAACCCCACCGTGTGGGGGGGGCTCTGCTGCTCCCATTAGCACAGCTCCCCCCCCCGTTTTGAAACCTGAGCCCCTCCCCCCATACCTTCTCAACCCCCCAAAACACAGAGGACACGTTTTCTCCCCCCCCTCTATTATTCCCCTATCTCGCCCTCCTTATCCTCCCCCCTTGTCCCCATTACTGACCCCCCTCCAGAGCCGGCTCGAGGTTCCTGCTGCTGCCGCCGCTTCTTCCCTCAGAGGGAGCGCCCAAAGCGAAGCGCATGCGCTGTAACCGCTCCGGCGCGCGCGCGCGCCCAACTCCCCTCCGCGCGCCCCCTTATTCACTCACTGCACAGCGCACATCAAAACAAAAAAAAAAAAACAAAAACGGAAAGTGGGCGGAGCTAGCCCAGAAGGAAGAAGCGACGGCGGCTGCGGCGGCCTCCGCGCGTGCGCCCTCGAGCCGGCGCGAGGAAGCGTTTCGTCGGTTGTTTTTTTTTTTTGTTGTTGTTGTTGGTTTCAAATACTTCGGCGCGTGCCCTCCGCTTCCGCGCAGGCGCGCCCAAAGAACTTTCGGGGGGGAAGCCGGCGCAGCCCCGCCCCCTTCGTAAGCCCCGCCTCCTACTCCTGCGTCTTCCTCCTTCGCCTCAGGTTCTTCTCCTCAGCCGCCGGGGGCTTTGGAAGCGAGAAGGTGGGCTGAGGGTAGAAGGTAAACGCCTCCGCGAGGCCTCGGCCGGGGTCTGAGGTGATTTCGGGGCGCCTCTCTCCCCCGCCCCCAAGCCCCAGCCTGCAGGGATGCTGCCGGGCCCTTGGACGCCGGAGTGCTTCTGCATGCAGGGCAGGTGTCCTCGCCGCGGCCTGAGGTTGCCTCCATCCCTCCTTCCCTCTCGCAGGCCTTCTCGGGGACCGGGGGGCGGAGGAGGTGTGGGGAAGGGAAAACGCCCCCCCTGTTGCCTGAAGTGGGTGAGCCCCCCCCCCGACCCCTGGCTGTGGGGAGGGCCCAGCAGCAGCAGCAGCATTGGGGAAGCCCGCAGCAAGGCCCTCTGGAAGTCCCCCCTCACACGGGCCAGGGAAGCTTGGCCCCTTCGTATTTTTATTTATTTATTCAACACTGGCAATGTCGTGTGTGGGAACCTCCATCATATACTGTATATTACGGAATTGTTGAGTTTATGCTGTGAACCGCCCTGAGATCTATGAGTGAAAGGCGGTACGCAAGCTTATTAATATACTGTAATAGTCAGTGCTGGATTTACGTATAAGCTAAACAAGATATAGCTTAGGGCCCCACTCCCCCCCCCCCATAAATTTCACTATTAATATACTTCTTAATTGTATTTCAGTTCAACAATTACTTTGATAAAATACATATATTGTTTTGTGCAAATAACTTTAGATACCCATTGGATGCATAAATTACCATATAGCATATGCAGTTATACCTCATGTTATGTTTACTTCATGTTACCTTCTTTCAGGTTACATCCCACGGCGACCTGGAAGTACCGGAAAGGGTTACTTCCGGTTTTTGCCGCATGCGCAGAAGCGGCAAATTGCAACTCGTGCATGCGCAGACACGCCGCTGCGGGTTGTGCTCTTTTCATGTTGCGAACGGGCCTCTGGAACGGAGGCTGTTCGCAACCAGAGGTACCACTGTATTCAACACAAAAAACAGTGACAATTTGTTGTTGACAAAGGACAGCGGAACATATAAAAGGCCCCATTACCTTCAGGAGCTTAGGGCCTCATCAAACCTAAATCCGGCCCTGATAATATTAATAGTAATAGTAATAATAATAATAATAGATCCATAGAATAACAAGATGCGTCCTTCCACCCCTAAGAGACCATGTACACTACCCAGTGATCCTTGGAACATAAAAGTGGTATATAAATGTAAGAAGTCTATATTCGGAAGAGCAGATGCAGAATTAATCGTTGAGAAGTAAGGTCAGCAATGGCACCATCCAAAGTGGGTAAGAGACATAGCGTAGCGCTAAGGATGTAAATAAGTTTAATGATAATGGCACACAGAATGGAGAACTGGACCAGAATTAACAAAGTGATTTTCATAGAATCATAGAGTTGGAAGGGACCCCAAGGGCCATTCCTGCAATGCAGAAATCTCAACACTCGGCCCCCAATCCAATTTGAAACCACACCGTGCCCTGCTTAGTTTTTCAAATACGTGGGAGTTACATTTCAGGGATCGTGTCTAAAGCCAAAATCGCATATAGTCAAAACACAATGGGCTCGATGGTGAGTGGATTTGCCCAAGTCATTTTTCCTATAACCTTGCAACCCTTTTAATTTTTTGAATGGGCACAAGTTAAATGAGTGGAAGTTGTGGGCTTCCTGTAATCCCCCCCCTTAAATTAATAAAATTAAAACATACACTTGTTAGGGTTATAGACATGCCACTCATTGCCAGTGCTAGTTAATGTGCACTTTGTGTTTTGTTTTTGTTTTGTATTAGGGAAAGCAGTTCCATGTGGAAAATGTGCTATCCATTCACACACACATTTATGTGTCTTTGGGGACCGGTGATCTTGAGTACAATTGATACCTGTCTTTTCTCTTCAGTGCCAATTTAACACATACTTATTTGCCCAGGCATTTCCACTATACAACAGCATATTTAGTAATAATTGTTTTAATATGGTGTTTTAGTGATGTGTTTTATCCACTGTGGCTTAGCGGTATTTTCAGGTGATCTTTTTATGCTGTCACTAACCCTAGGATTGGTAATAATGAAGGTTGGTTAGAAATGTGCCCCTGCTCACTCCACTTGCCAACCCCCTGCTATTTACCCTCACATTAATTCCCTTGAGCTTCCCCTTCCCACCCTGTGCAACCACTCAGCTTACTTTTCTTGACCTTTTGGGTTTTTCTTCATGCAAATCCAGGTTTGTGATTCAGCACCACAAATCATACAATGGGGGCTGTATGACGACAGTCTTACATTTTTATGTATATAAGAAGAAATGAATGTGTGGATTGTGATGATTAAATGTTTACTTCCCTGGAGGGGAATGTTTATTTCCCTGTTTTCTTCCCCATTTCTTGAGGGTGAAGCATTACTGCTTTATAGCAGCTTTCACCAACTGGATAACCTGCAGGTTTTTTCACTGCAACTCCCATAAGCCCCAGCCAGAACAGCTGATGGAAGTTATAGTCTAAAACATCTGGAGGGCACCAGGTTGGTGAAGGCTGCTTAACAGTAAACGACGGAGTATGGATAACACTGTACCTGGTAAACATTGTCTAGTGCTTTGAATCTGATAATAACATTATTATTTCTTAGGGGAAAAAGTGAAACACATTTATTATTGTGTATTTGTATCAAACTTCTATGGTAGGTCAGCACTGCTAATGTGCTGAATCAGAAATAAAATTGAACCCTGAGGAACCCTGCATTGAAGGGTATCATTATATTTTAATATTTTGCTGGAAGCCTCCCAGAGTGGCTGGGGAAATAAATTATTATTATTATTATTATTATTATTATGCATTTCAATTGATTGATTGTGATTTTATGTGAACTGTGTTGCTTTTATTGTTGTTGGCCGCTCTGAGCCCAGCTTCGGCTGGGGAGGGCGGGATATAAATAAAATATTATTATTATTATTATTATTATTATTATTATTAGCACTCCCCAAGCATCACCCTCTGGAAACAACCATCCATGTAGGACTGGAACCACTGCAAAGCGGTGCCACTGGCCCCTACTTGGACAGTCACTCCAGAAGAATACCATGGTCAGTGGTATAAAAAACCCACTAAGGGTCAATGAGAATTAACATGGACACTTTCCCCCTGTCTCTCCTCCAACATCATGCGGGGCAAGCAATGCAGTTTCTGTGCCAAAACGGCCTAACCCCTGATTGAAATGGATCTAGAATATCTGCTTCCTCCAAAAGTGCCTGGATCTGTTGTGTGACAAATAAATAAATAATACCCCAAGGATATGTGAGCTCTAAAGTGGCAGGGGCTTTTCAGTAATTGTTCATTGGAAAGATATGGCAGCCTGACTACTATGGAACTGAATGATTTTGAACTATCCATTCAGGCTGACATGACGAACAGTTCTCTGTCATCTCAAATTTATTGCGACATGATTTTTGTAGACACACAAAATGATGCAGGTGTAGAAACACATGTTACAACAAACGTCTAAACCTTCCGTTGGGTCCCGGCCTCTTGTTTTTCCACATCAGGCCTGGCAGGGCTGCTCCTCTGGCATTCTTTTATTCTAAATTGAAAGGCACTGATTCTTAGAAAACCAGGAGTTGGGTGGGTAAGAATTAATACCAAGCTATACATTATACAGGGACGCGGGTGGCGCTGTGGGTAAAACCTCAGCGCCTAGGACTTGCCGATCGCATGGTCGGCGGTTCGAATCCCCGCGGCGGGGTGAGCTCCCGTCGTTCAGTCCCAGCTCCTGACAACCTAGCAGTTCGAAAGCACCCTTAAGTGCAAGTAGATAAATAGGTACCGCTTTATAGCGGGAAGGTAAACGGCGTTTCCATGTGCTGCGCTGGTGCAGGCTCGCCAGAACAGCTTTGTCACGCTGGCCACGTGACCCGGAAGTGTCTCTAGACAGCGCTGGCCCCCGGCCTCTTAAGCGAGATGGGCTCGCAACCCCAGAGTCGGACACGACTGGCCCGTACGGGCAGGGGTACCTTTACCTTTATACATTATACAGGCAATCCACAATTTGCGCAGGGGTTGCATTCTGGGTCATCACCTGTGGTAGTGGAGCGCATATAACTATGCCCCCTTTTACTGCCACTTCCTGGTTTGCAGTGATGCTTGTGTGCTTTGAACACACGCAAAATGGTCCTTACCTATATGCCGATGCATATAATAGTAGACTGATAGCCCACGTAGCTATCACTGCTTCCCAGTTCCCATTGGAAGCAGCTTTCCTGGAACTAAATGGGTTGTTGGGCTGCTGTTACGTGTGTTTGTGTATACAGTGGTACCTCGGGTTACATACACTTCAGGTTACAGACTCTGCTAACCCAGAAATACGGTAGTACCTCGTGCTCCAGTGACACAGCAGCAGCTGGAGGCCCCATTAGCCAAAGTGGTGCTTCAGGTTAAGAACAGTTTCAGGTTAAGAACAGACATCTGGAACAAATTAAGTACTTAACCCGATGTACCACTGTAATATATAAGGCAGGCTTTAGTTTTGTAAAACAAACTTATAACTCATTAATGCTGAGACACTGATGACAAGAGAGTCTATGGCTACTTCCTTTGTGAGCACCTCTTGCAGTTAATTGGGTGAAAACATGAAAAATGGAGCTTCACGTCTGGCATTCTTTAAAAACCCTGTTCTGCTCAGAGATGTTTCCATGGAACCTCCAGAGAATCTCTGTTAGCAATGTCTCAGTTTGAATACAGTACAATTTTTGTTTCTTTTGGTGTAACTTTCCTGTTTAAGCCATCTGCTTAGGGTAGTCCCAGTGTCCTCCTCTGAGACATAGAGTAATGGTATTTAGGATTTCTCATCTGGCATGGCTCACCTGATACCTTTAAGATCACTTTGCATGAGTGATCAGCTGTAGTGTGGTCTGCATGTGATACCTGTGATAGTAATAGTATACTAGGTTCTGCAATATGAAAACATGACTAGTCAAATGGTAACTGGCTCACAGATGAACAGTGACTCATGAGAGCCAAGAGTATATAATATCCAGTATT